AAATTTTTATATATATATATATATATATATATATACACTTGATAACTTGATAATATCTTACAGATGGAGAACACATTTAAGGACTTAGAATTTGCTAGACTCTACAAATACAAGTAAGCTAATGTTTTTTTCGGCTACTACTTATAAAGAAAAAAATTCAACTATCCTTTTTTTTTAAATATATGATCCATATTAAAAATTTATTTTAAAGTAAGAAAAATGAGACTATAAAGGGTTTTTTAAATAATTTCAAAAATGCCAAAAAAAAAATTCTTAGTTGTTTGTTGACTTTTGCTATAAAATTAACTTTTTATGATATTTTGTCATTATTTTCTTACTACGAAAAATGTTGGTAGTAAACGTTCCCAAAATACACATTTCTGTTTTAATGAAAAATAAACAGTGGTAGCAAAGCCTGATTTTTATATAACATCGATATGTAAGCTTTGAGCAACAATATGGAAAAGCAACATTAAAGCTGTTGCTTTTTCATATTGTTGCTCAAAGTTTTCGACAGCTTTGGAGAATATGCATGATATATTTTTGCTAAAAAGGAAAAAAAAAGAAAAATAATGCTTTTGATTTCTTTTAATCATTTATGATATTTTTCAGTTTCAAAGATGATGTTATCAACTGTTTGATATGGCTGCAATTTAATAAACCATCGGAGTTTGATTACAAGCGAATACCAGTGGCAGCTTTTGACGATGGTTTACTTCTTCCAGGATTACAACTGAAAGCAGATAAAATAAAAGAAGGTAGTTTCTTAATTAAATTTATGTTTACATATATGAAGCGTTTTGCAATGGCCACATTTTCTTAATATATGTTGTAAGAATTTTCACCAAAAGTTGAAAAGTTTGTAATTAACCCCTTGGGGACGAGTGATTCAGAAAAACATTCGTAAAAATCAGAATCAAGTTGTAATGAAACAAGAAACGGTAATTTAAATGTACTCGTTGCTGATTTGACAGACTTACTTTGCTTTTACTTTAATTATTGTTAGTTTAATCATATATATAATCAATGTTAATTCAAAGTATAACTAAATAGTTTTATTTTGAACAAAGTAATGGTGAATTAAATAAATCAAACAATTACAACTCCGCTCACAAATAAACTGCTAAAGAATTATTTTGATTACCAGTTTTATCTTTTTACCCTGATTGATACGGTTTTATGCTGTCACGAATTTGTGACAGTTGGCGCGAAAGGGTTAAGCGAAAAGTAAAAACATAGATTTCGAATTCTGTCGGATAAATAGTGAGTAAGACGTGGTGAAAAAAATGAAAACCTATCTGATTCCTTAAATAAATTAAGAGGTATCTAATAATTACCATTTATCTATACACTGCCTCTTCTGGCACTCAAACTGGTTCTGATGCTTTCACCCCTTATTTTTTTGGTAGTGATCTGTTAGATTTCGATTTCGTCTTCCTGCTTCATTCTTTTGAATATTAATTTGTTATTTTTTGTTTAATATGTATTCTTATTTGAATTCTTTTTTTTTTCACTAGGACAACATGCTCCAACATGCTTAACAATGATTTTAAAAACAAACTCTTGAAAGATATTATACATTCTGTTTTCGTCGCAGGCATTACAAATATACAATGATTGTTAATATTATTTTATTAATTTTTTTGTACTTTTTATTGGACTTTTGTGCTTTTTTTTAAACGCAAATTAAGGTAAAAGCGTAAATTAGAGGGGTTCTGTATTAAAGTACGTTCTTACTGCAGAACTGAAGTGCGTTTGATTTGTTAGTTACCAAAGCTGGGCCTGGGATAATTTACTGGATAATTTAAAGAAGCTGACAATTAATAATTTTAGAAAATTATCCTTTATTTAAAAAAATATATATATAAAATAAATTCATGTTTCTTTATTTTATGAAAATATGAAGCATCGATACCACAATTTCTATCAATATATACTCTTGATGCTATTCGATTTTATTTAAAAAATGTATCGATACTTTTCGACATTTTATTGTATAGATGGCAAAATTCAGTAAAGATAATGATATAGGTATAAAAAGATGTTTAAGAGAGCTACATTTTGATTTATAATTGGGTTTGGTCAAAGTCAAATCAGATAAAGAATTTGTAAGAAGTTTATAACTTATTATAATTATAGAGAAAAAAGCAGGACACAATATTTTAACTAATAAAAGAATTGCCATTGAAACTACATTTAACTCAACAGCAGGGACAGTGAAAAGGAAAGAATTATATATTATAATATAATTTAACGCTGTTATAAGAGAAAGACAACAAACTTGATATTTTTTCTTCTTAAGTACAAAATGCGATACTCCTATCACAACAGAGTGCCTAATTATCACAGTAAATAGAAAAATAATTTGTCTTTTTCTCTTTTCAGTCAAAGGAGAAGAATTGAACTTTTGCTCTGGGCAAGAACATGATCCATTCTGTGGAGCCACTACATGTGACAAAACTGAATGCAAGTGCCCTGCGGGATACAAAGTTGTTGACTCAAGTATAAGAAAATATGGTGCTGTAACTCTATTCAACTGTGAAGGTAAACTTTGATTAGTATGATATATAAATATACATAGAGAGATAGATAGATAAACACAAAGAAGAGTAAAATAAAATAAAATAGAAGAACTTTTAATGGGAAAACGTAAAGGTCTTCATCGGGACACGTTCTTTACAATAAATGCGAATTTAGATTTCTGAATAGAAAATTATTCTAAGTTAATAATTACTCTTTATAATGTGACTATATCGCTAAAAAAAATGCAGTTGAAAATGATTATGAAAAAAAAAAAAAACAGAAAAAAAACTTACTGGCATGCAGCAAAAGTAAAAAATGTTTTAAAGAGAGATTTACAAATTTTACAGCTAACAAAGTTTTGCGAAGAAAATAATAAAAAGCAGTACTTAAATAGAACAAAGTAATTCAGAAAATATATATATTTGTAGAGAAAATATGCGGCAAATAACATTTTAGTGCTGCCCTATTTGAGAAAAATCTAGTTACAAAATTATTCGCAAAATGTATTTAACCAAGCCCTTAATAGGAAGAAAATTTAATCAATAACATAAAATAAATAAATAAATAAAAATAAATATCAATTAAAACATTTTTAAATTTTAAAATAAAGGAAGACATTCAAAATAGGTAATTGTTATAGTTTAAATTACAGACTTAAATTAGGATATATGTTTCAAATTCGTTTCGTTAAGTGTATGTTAGCCTCGAAATTCTATAATCTCCCTAGCTATTATTTTGAATGCCTAGCAGTTTTAGGCAAATTATGTTATAAAAGAATTATAACATACTTTACATAGTAATTCTATGGAATATTTTTTTAAGTTTTTCATTTGCCAATAGACATTCTCGTATACGATGAAATAAAATATCGATTATTTCGTACCTTTCATGCATTGAAAGTGGCATATACACTATTTACGATTAACTTATCTAGTTTGCAATAACAGCATAACAACAATTTGCATAAAATGATAATTAACTTCACGTAGAATCTAGCACTTTAGGCATTACTGCAAGACAAATCTTAAAATGCGTTAAATCCTTCATTTGGATTTTTTTCTTCAAAATAGGTGGTTTAGAGTTATATAGTATCAGTGTAATACTTACGAACTAATCTTTTATTAACTTAGATGCAAATACAGGTAAGGTATCAAAAATTGATTATACTGTATATAAAAGGGAGATGAATAGATAATACATAGTAGTGTATATCCCAATATATAAAATATGAGAGTCTTTAGTGTTTTATTGTTTCATGTAGACGTAAACGAATGCAACGATGGGTCACATACCTGTCCACAGGAAACCACTTCTTGTGTCAATACCGAAGGAAGCTTTTACTGCAAGTGTCTTCAAAACTATAAGCTGAAGAAAGATAAAGTAGAAGATAAGAATCAGGAAGGATGCATAGGTATGTAACAGATGCAAACATTTCGTCTTTTTGCAAAGTAATTTCAAGAGTTTGTAATTTAACTATTAGTGTTTCAATGCCTGAAATATAAAGCGCACCTTTGATTTCGAGCAATGCTGAAAACTCTCTGAAAAATCAAGTCAATATAATCAAATAATTAACAAATTTTTCGATAGAAGGAACAAATGTTGCACTTTAACGATACCGTTAATGTGCTCGTTATTCCGACTACTACGATCCGGCATCCCCTAGGTGACCTGTGTGTGTGAGTGTCGTATTTAGCTACCATCCATATGGCGATCTGAGCGTATCAGCGCAGTATTTAGCCGGCATCCACGTAATGACCTGTGTGTATGAGAGTCGTATTTAACTGGCATGAAGTGTATTTAGCTGACCTCCACATGACGATCCGAGTCTACGATTGTAATATTTATCCCGCATCTACGTAATAACTTGTGTGTATGAGCGTCGTATTTTGCTGGCATCCACATGACGAGCTGAGTGGACGAGCGCAGTAATTAGCGGCCATCCACGTAATGACCTGTATGTATTGGTGTCGTATTTAGCTGGCATACACATGACGATCTGAGTGTATGAGCACAGTATTTAGCCGGCATTCACGTAATGAACTGTGTGTATGAGAGTCGTATTTAACTAGCATGAAGTGTATTTAGCTGGCCTCCACATGACGATCCGAGTCTACGATTGTAATATTTATCCCGCATCTACGTAATAACTTGTGTGTATGAGCGTCGTATTTTGCTGGCATCCACATGACGAGCTGAGTGGACGAGCGCAGTAATTAGCGGCCATCCACGTAATGACCTGTATGTATTGGTGTCGTATTTAGCTGGCATACACATGACGATCTGAGTGTATGAGCACAGTATTTAGCCGGCATTCACGTAATGAACTGTGTGTATGAGAGTCGTATTTAACTAGCATGAAGTGTATTTAGCTGGCCTCCACATGACGATCCGAGTCTACGATTGTAATATTTATCCCGCATCTACGTAATAACTTGTGTGTATGAGCGTCGTATTTTGCTGGCATCCACATGACGAGCTGAGTGGACGAGCGCAGTAATTAGCGGCCATCCACGTAATGACCTGTATGTATTGNATACATAATATCGATGGTATACTTAAATTAGAGTTCAGTTCAATATGTTTCAATTTCGTTCGTTAAGTGTATGTTAGCCTCGAAATTCTATAATCTCTCTAGCTATTATATTGAATGCCTGGCAGTTTTAGGCAAAGTATGATTTATAAGAATTATACCATACTTTACATAGTAATTCTATGGAATATTTTTTAAAGTTTTTCATTAATCAGTAGACATTTTCGTGTACGATGAAATAAAATATCGATTATTTCATACCTTTCCGTTCGATTTCATGAATTGAAAGTGGCATATACACTATGTATGATTAGCTTATCTAGTTTGCAATAACAGCATAACAGCAATTTGCATAAAATGATAATTAACTTCACGTAGAATCTAGCACTTTAGGCATTACTGCTAGACAAATCTTAAAATGCGTCAAATCTTTTATTTGAATTTTTCTTCTTCTTCAAAATAGGTGGTTTAGAGTTATATAGGGTCAGTGTTATACTTACGAACTAATCTTTTATTAACTTAGATGTAAATACAGGTAAGGTATCTAAAATTGATTATGCCATACCTGCCAACTCTTCCGGATTTTCCGGAAGATTTTATTTTCATATTTAAAGTGGTAGTAAATATATACAATTTTTTATTTTATAAACTTAATTTTTAAATGATTTTGATCACCACTATTCTTTCAAAAATTAAGCACATATATTAATATGCAGTACTATCATGGTTGGCAACTTAAGTTTTTTCAAATGCAACGTATTTGTTTGCTTAAAATTGAAGTTTTAATTCCATTTTAATACCACTGAGAAAAATGATAATGGAAGGGATTAAAAGTTGGCAGGTATGTTATGCTGTATATAGAATGGAGATGAATAGATAATAGTGGTAAGTGGTGGTAACGTGTGGCATAAACTATACCGTTTGCTATCTAATATCTTCTAATTATATAAAGGATAATGCTTTGTTTATTCTACATATTAAAAGTGGATGAATAGATATTTGTGGTCCTTGCGTGTGACTTCAACATTACCGTCACGCTATTATGACTGTCTCCTATTCATATGGTATATAGCAGAGATGCCAACTGCTCCGGACAAGCCAAAATAATAAAAAAAAAACGGTAAATAACTTCAAAGTAAATTTGTAAATCTTTAACTACTTTTACTTGCGTTTTGAAGGATATAGCATGACATAAGTAATTTAACATAAAGTGGTGAATTTTATAAGAATAAGAATTATTTAGAAATAGTGGTGGATAAAAATCTACTAAATTGAATTTATTAAACCAAGATTCACTATTGATAAACTACCACGTTAAAATATTTATTTGCTGTCCGGAGCAAGTTGGCATCTCTGATATAGTATTGCAATTATACTGTATATGACTGAGTGATAAACTAATATTTATGTTCCTGTTATGCGGAATAAACAATGCTTTCTGCAGAATATCTCTTATTCACGTATATAATACTGTGATTATACTAAATAATAAAAGAAGCAGAACAGATATTTTTAGCTATAGCATATGGTCCCAACACTGTCATAGGAGATTGTATTTCCAATTCTTACGGAGGATATTACTGTAGTTATACTATATTTGAATTGGAGATGAATAGATATTTTGGGTCGTATTATTTTATATAAACAATGCCTTATACAGCATATTTCTCAGTATAAGCATTATAGTACTGCAACTATACAATATATGGAACGAAGATTAATAGATAGTTTTGATCATAGCTCGTGCATACACAAAGCAAATTTTTTTGTTGGGTGAGCAAAGTTTATAGTGCGCCAACAAATCATATAGTTAGAAATAAAGATCAAGAATCGCAAGAATTTATATCCATACGCAGAGATGCCAACTTGTTCCGGACAGCAAATATATATTTTAAAGTGGTAATTTATCAATTGTGATTCTTGGTTTAATAATTTGAATTTAGTAAATTTTCATCCACCACTATTTTTAAATAATTCGTAGGCTTATATAATTCACTACTTTACTAGAGATGCCATCTCGCTCCGCACAGCAAATACATATTTTAAAGTGGTAGTTTATCAATTGTAATTCTTGGTTAAATTAATTCAATTTAGTGTATTTTCATCCACCACTATTTTTAAATAATTCGTAGGCTTATATAATTCACTACTTTACTAGAGATGCCATCTCGCTCCGCACAGCAAATACATATTTTAAAGTGGTAGTTTATCAATTGTAATTCTTGGTTAAATTAATTCAATTTAGTGGATTTTTATCCTCCACTATTTCTAAATAATACGTAGGCTTATATAACTCACCACTGTATAGTGCTTATGTCATGCTATAACTTTTAAAAAGCAAGCAAAAATTATCAAATATTTGCAAAATTTACTTTGTATTTATTAACCGTTTTTTTAAAAATTATTTTGGCATGTCCGGAGCAGTTGGCATGCTATATCTTTTAAAAAGCAAGTAAAAATAGTAAATATTTGCAATATTAACTAAGTAGTTATTTACCGTGTTTTTAATTATTTTGGGGTGTCCGGGGCAGTTGGCATCTCTGCAAACGCATTTCTTTCAAAAAGTACTGTGTTTACTGAAGTTAATGAGAAGTAGTGTATATCCCAATAATTAAAATATGAGAGTCTTTACTGTTTTATTGTTTCATGTAGACGTAAACGAATGCAACGATGGGTCACATACCTGCCCTCAGGAAACCACTTCTTGTGTCAATACTGAAGGAAGCTTTTACTGCAAGTGTCTTCAAAACTATAAGCTGAAGAAAGATAAAGTAGAAGATAAGAATCAGGAAGGATGCATAGGTATGTAACAGATGCGAACATTTCGTCTTCTTACAAAGTAGTTTCAAGAGTTTGTAATTTAACTACAGTCAAACCTCGCTATAGTGAACCTTCAAGGGACCAAAGTTTCGGTCCACTATAACTGGGAGTTCACTATATCCGTTACGCAAGCAATTTAACTTTATGGTTCCCAAACTCCTCCCTTTTATTACACATTACTCAAATAAATGATTGAAAAATATTATGTAGTAGCAAAAAAAACTCTTCGTCTTGCGTACAAAAAAAAAATTGTAATCTTTAGCTGATGAGCAATCCTGAATATCAGATATGGAAACACTTCCCGACTCTCAGATCTTGAATTTCTGTTATTCCGCTTTTCAAACCTGTCTTACCTGCCATTCGAGCACATAAAAGTAGTCTCACAAAATCGCCTAGTAAATTCATCGACATTTGTCCAGATACTGGAAGATTGCGGCTTCTTCGAATGTTGACAACATCCTTGTTCAACATCCTTGCGATCTGCTTTTCTCAACTTTTTTCTGCTATCTAATTTTTTTTTCATGAGCAGAAATTGTCTATTATTCCAGCTATTACAAACTGTAGATTTGGAGAGTTTATATTCCCTGAAAATATCAGTTTGATTACATCCATTTTAAATTTTTCTGATCATGCCCATTTTATCATCAATGGAGAACGTTTTACGTGTACTACTCGCCATAGTTGAATTTGAGACACTGGTTTGCAGGCTTTTTTTAACTGAACTGAGAGCAAAAAGGAGTTGAAATGAGGTCCTTATCAACACAGATTAGTGTCCAACCCTTTGACGAATAATGAATAATTACTCATTCCCTCTGACAGAAAATGCATATTGATCCCACTGACACCTTACAGGTGCATCATCTACCTGGGTTGGAAACATCTGCTTGGCAGGTTTAGGGATGGGGAAGTGAGATAAAAGAATGAAACAAGAAAAATACTTATCTCTACATTCCCCTCTATAGATGGTTTTAAAAGTCGGTATATCTATTTATTTTGAAGTAGAAAATTCAAAATTATTCCAAAAAAATGAAGAAAAAAATCAGTCAAAGACAGAAAAAAGTTCATTAGATCCAACTTCTTCACTTTTTTGGTTCACTATATCCACAAAAAATAACATTATACGCTTATAGCAAGGCACGGGAACGAACATTTCGTTCACTATATCCGGGAGTTCACTATAAACCGTGTTCACTATAGCGGGGTCTGACTGTATTAGTGTTCCAATGCCTGAAATATAAAGCGCACCTTTAACTTCGAGCAATCTTTGTATTGTGGTTAAAAATACTTATCTGTTCTGTGAATTAAGCATAAAATTATTTATTTAGTTTTTTGGATATCTGAAAAATCAAGTCAATATAATCAAATAATTAACAAATTTGTCGATGGAAGGAACAAATATTGCACTTTAACGATACCGTTAATGTGCTCGTTATTCCGACTACTACGATCCGGCATCCACGTAATGACCTGTGTGTATGAGAGTTGTATTTAACTGGCATGAAGTGTATTTAGCTGGCCTCCACATGACGATCCGAGTCTACGATTGTAATATTTATCCCGCATCTACGTAATAACTTGTGTGTATGAGCGTCGTATTTTGCTGGCATCCACATGACGAGCTGAGTGGACGAGCGCAGTAATTAGCGGCCATCCACGTAATGACCTGTATGTATTGGTGTCGTATTTAGCTACCATCCACATGGCGATCTGAGTGTATCAGCGCAGTATTTAGCCGGCATTCACGTAATGACCTGTGTGTATGAGAGTCGTATTTAACTACAACCACGTGAAACTATTTAATAACCATTAATACCACTAAAAGCATAATTTGAATGTACTAATTATGTTTTGGAAGTCGATTACGCTTTTATTTATAATATTTTCAAGATATCCAAATGCATTGTCAAACAACTCTTAAATAAGGAAAAACGAACATCAGTTTATCGACATGCAATGTGCTCACTTCGTTTCGCGGTGCACCGTTTAGCCGCGTCACTTGAGCGGAGCGGACTTTCGTAACGAAAGATTAAAGAAATGTGCTAACAAAATCTGCAAATTTAGTATTATTATCACTGAGAAAAATGATCTTTAAAAAATGTAGAGGTTTGCAGCTATGAATTAGGAGGATACAATATGGTTTTGACATTCGTTTATTTGTCTTTTAGACGCATGCAAGGATCCAAATCCTTGCTCTGATGGACAATGTTCGCTTACTTCGGGTGGCATGGTTGACTGCAGGTAAATTAATTCAATATTCAAATTTTTATGATAGCAAGTTTTTGAACTTGTAAGTTACGAATCACGGATTTAACTTGAAATAAAACAAAAGAGATGAAAGCTTATAATCAAACTTATTCGTTATTAAATTTTATCTTTGATTTTGTTGCATATCCCTATTTATAAAATATTAAACATTTAAATATTTCAGTAATGCCTTTCATTTTGTTTAAGCAATTTGAAACAACTATTTTTTATTTCATTTAAAATTAATTTTACTATTACCGCAAGGCCCTTGTGAAAAAAATATTGAAAAAAGATTGTAAATTGGAAATATTGCAGAAAAAACATCGGAAATTTTACTATATCATTTATATGCCGGCCAGGTGGCCGAGCGGTTAGAGCGCCTGACTATGCGAAACCAATGGCTGCGGGTTCTAATCCCGCTCTGGGCATGAATGTTTCTCTCTTGTGTTTACTCTGTTGTGTGCGATGTGTGAATGTGGCCCACCCTATGAACGGGTTTGTGGCAGTGTGGCGTAGGCAATGTTGCTCACCTCCGTGACTTTGGTTCACAGGTGCTCACTGGGTAACGTGAAATGAGTAACAATTCCGGCATCTTCTTAGGCGAAGAATAAAGTTCAGTGCCTGCCATTTGAAAAAAAAAACTATATCATTCATTATCATAAATAATGCACTAAGATGGTGATATTATTAGTAGTTATATGCTATTACAGTTTAAAAAATTTATTTTAAAAATTACGTTTTTCAAGTAGACTAAAAAAAGATAGAAAAAATTTAAAAATTTCGTTTTCAAAGTAAACTAAAAATGGAAGAAAAAAATATTTTGTTGGAGTCAGTTTTAATAATTTTAATTTTGTTGAAGAAATTAGGGCGTCTAATCACTTTTTAAACAGAGACAAGATTCGGAGTTGATAAAATTTTGTTACAGAAATTATACACTCTGAGTTTTTCGTTTCAGTTCTTAAAAAAATTAACTTTATTCCACATTTTCCAGCTTGGAAAATATAATTTTTGTAATTTTTTTAATTTTATTTATATACAGTTAATGTGTCTGAAATCTGTCAAAATTTCTATTTGTGATCAATTTAACTTGCGCAAACTAGGAAATAAATATAATTTGTTTTAGCATCAGTCACAAAACTTCAACTGAAATGAGCACTCTAGTTAATCAGAAAATTATTTAAATTTAATTTATAAAAAAATTGATTTGGGGATAAATTGACTATGAAAATAATGCTTGAGAATATTAACTTGTCAGAAAGGATTAAACATAAATTTCAAAATTCTAACTAAAAAACGTGAAAAATAAATTAAAAAAACAACTAGTAAGGTACTCATACTTCGAAAACAAATTTTTCCACGAAAAAGAATGTATTCAGAAGTTTGGTACTTTTCTATCTAATTAAAAAAAAAGGAGGAAATCATAGTTTTTCCTATAAACAAACTTACAAACTACTACTACTTTTCAAATAAATTAAAGTTGATTCATTATAAACATTGCGCAAAAAAATGAACATTTAAATCATTTTGATCAAATAATCAGATTTTAACTTATTAGGATGCAATCCTAATAGCATGACTCTTTAACTACAAATATACTACTTAATTTGAGCAGACTATCATTGTTATAGTTAAGAAATCAGATACATAAACATACTTTCTGTGACGAAGTAGAAATATACTTTTTTTTTACGAAGAATTATTATCTTAAAAGGTATTTTATTTTATTTTATTTTATTTTATTTTATAACCGTCGTTGAACAGTCGACCCAATTCTGGGTTTACGACTACCAATGTTCAACTCCGCATCCTTGTAATTTTGATCCCAATCCAGGAGACAAGGGAGCTCCTGGATCAGTACCCTGAGAGGTATTGATTTGTTATGGGAACATGGAGGACTTTGAGACCCGACAGATTTAACGTGCATCAGCTACCATTTCCTAGGCGGGGAATCTTTGGATGGCGGGGATCGAACGCACGATCTCTTCGACATGTGCCCAGTGCCCTACCAACCAGACAATCCCGGCCTTCTAATCTTGAGGGGTAGCCGTAATCGGGAAAATATGAATGCAATAGTTTTGCCAGAAGTGCGGTCGTGAGTTTGAACTCTTTAATATTAATTTTACTGTGTTCATGTATTTGAAATTATTTAAGCAAATATAAAAACTGATGCTTTCAATTATAATATGGGAGAGTCGTGATGGCTCAGGGGATAGAGCGTTTGCCTTTCAATGAGGTGAAGTGGGTGCGAATCCCAGCAATGGCTGGTCAATACAAATTTCGCATCCGGCTTGCACCGACGCAGTGCTGGCGTGAAATATCCTTAGTGGTAGACGGATCATGGGTTAGAGTCCCTTTACTATCAGGCTGACCGTGGGAGGTTTTCATGGTCTTTCTCTCAAATGCGGGTTAGCTCAATCAGAAGAAATCCTCCACGACGGCAAATTTCTCCCAATAGCCTGGTCGGTAGGGCGCTGGGCCCATATCCAAGAGGTCGTGGGTTCGATCCTCGCCGGCCGAAGACTCCCCATGTAGTAAATGGTGACTGATGCACGTTATATCTGTCGAGTCTCAAAGTCCTCCATGTTCCCACAACAAATCAATACCTCTGGGGGTACTGATCCAGGAGTTTCCTTGTCTTCTGGATTGGTTCAAAATTACAAGGCTACGGAGTTGAACGTAAGTAGTCGTAAACCCATGAAATTGGGTCGGCTGTTCAACGACGGTTATAAAATAAAATAACATACTTGATCCAAAGGAAATGAAATGAAAAAAATTTAAGATTTGACAGTTTATTAGGGAATCATAAACTGTTAAACTTGTCTGGAAAAAAGACCACGTCTGGTCAATGTGTTGCCCACTGAAATGCACCAACGGAATTAAATTTGTGGTACTGAAAAATACCCATTTTGTTAATTTTGTTTCAGAATTCTATTTTTTTTAAAATTTTTTCAAATTTAATTTCTTTTTCGTGACTTTTTTTTCCAGTATATTTGCTTCAAATATTGAACATTCATCCATGGTTGAAGAAAATTTATTTTTCCCTAACGAAATATTTGTTTATATAAACTCTCGCTTTGGTGGAGGTCAATCAAAAGTAGCGAAAAAAGGAGGCAGATAATGTGATTTCAGATATAATTCTTAAAATTTTTGGAGAAATTAAAAATAAAATAAAAATTAACTAAGGGCGATAAGAAAGGGCCGTTCCTTATTTAAATTGTTCTAAGTTCGGTCCACAAGTAAAATCATTTCTCATTTATTTATTATTATTGAGTTACATATTCTGTGTTTTATATGAAACTTTTTTTTCAAGTTCAAATGATTGTTTTTTAAATCCAGGTAATCGTCCATTTCGTTGCAACTAAAATACTAACAAAATATTATATACAACTACAATAATGGTACATTTTAAAAACAAAATATTTGCGTTTTTTAAGAAAATATGTACGTTTAAGGAGGGGGGACAGTGATAAATAAGAAGCAATTACGGGGGTTGGTGAGTGGGGTGAGAAGGGAATGGAGCCTCCTAATAATATTAAATAATTATGAAGATAATGCGGGAAATCATGGTCAGAATGTTATTCTATCATAAATATTATTCTTTTAATTAAATATTTTATCTCCTCTTTATGCCTTATTACTTAAAATGTTGTCTTTTTTTTAGTTGTAAAGTTGGTTACTCTGGCTCTTACTGTAATAAAAAAGACGTAGCTTTAGCAGGTAAAGTATTTTGTTTTGTAACATACGGTTATTTTGTTTAAAAACTAACAATGAATGAACACTTCTCAGAAATGAAAAAAAGTTTAAAAAAAAGTAAAAGCGCTGAAACAATGTTATAAATGGAGTTGCCGACTTGATCTCATTTATAATTTTAAATAATAGATAAAACCTTCATATTTATATGAATGTCAGAACTATGAAAACCTGTTAATTATATTGACTGTTTTTCTATTCTCTGAACTATTATATTTTTAACTGATTGAGATGGATCACTACGAATTAAGACACCTACTTGATCGATTTCACAAATGTTTCGATTTCAAAAATATACAAAACAGAAGTAACAGTCGAAAAATCATCAATTTCTGCACATTGTTCGAATCTTAGGCATAAATCCAATTTCGACAATGCCACCCCTGTCACATCAATTCAGATTGATGCCTTGATTTAACTTAACCTTGATTTATTCATATGAATATGTTCCTTATGATATTAGTTCCTTACGAATCCTCCATAGCTCGTGGAAATACATTTTACTCTGATTTGCATCTCTCAGCCACGTTGGGTTTACTTGCTTTTTTTTAAATCGTTTTTCTCTCTCGGGTAATGAGATTTTTCTATTTTTATTTCTCACCTTTATTATTACATTTATATTTCTGCAGTAGAAATAAATAAAATCTTAAAAATATATTTAAAATATAAATGTGTGCTTGCAGAACAGTACTTCATCAGGGGACACACTGCCTGCAAACACACAGGAGCCTTTCTGTTGTTAATGGATTAAACCAAAACTAACAGTGCCCCGAGGCCCCTTAATGAAAAGACAAAAATATAACTTTTACCACAATTTAAAAGCACTAAAAATCTGAAAATGAATCACACCTAAAAGGTATAAAATTTAAATCAATTAATGAAACGTCCCCTTCAAAACACAATATAAATAAATGTAAGTAAAATGAAAGTTACAGTTAATAAAAGTAATAATATAAAAATAATTCGAGTCAGTAAGAGAAAACAATCAAGTGCAGACGCCTGTGTTGGAAAGTCTAATCAATGAGCAATAAAATCTCTAAGTGCTGCCATCTGTTTTGAAAAAATAAATCCTAAAGTTTTCATGTATCAATATTGACTTAGTAAATTGAATTTATTGTATGATTAGATTTATATTTCTACGTTATATAATTAAATATGATGGCGTGTTAAAGTCGTGCTAAGTTTATTCACATAAGCTAGAATGCCGATTAACGTGGTTAATTAAATACAACGCTATATCACACATCGAATTTCTTAAAATGTAATTATTTCTCATCTACTTCTTTCACTTAGATTTATTATATACGTACTTTTTTAATAACCGGTACTTTTACCGGTACCGGAGAGTAAAATGGTACTTTTTTGAACTTCAATGCATAATTAGATTATTTATATTCCACTTGGTTTCGTACCTATCTTTGTGTTGAGTAAGAAATATATTGCGAAAGAATAGAAATCTTTGAGAAAGAATCTTCAAAGAAAGAATATTTGTAAAAGAATATAAAATTTGTCTCTTAAGAGAAATGATATTTGACGGTCGTGGCTTACTGAAAATAGGGAGAAAAAACCAGTTGCTAAAGCAAACGAATGCCTCGTTGCAACAACCAATCAGAATAGAAATGCTCACACTACGTCACTTGCAGGTATCCCATTGTCCTCATTTGTAGAAATTTGGAAGAAAATATATCAGATTTAACTTTGAATACGTCAGATTTATTATTAGATTTGAGAAATGCTTATATTTATGTATTTTCTCGGTGCATATAAAGAAATATTAAGGAACGTTTTTAGGTACAAACAAACATAAAATAACTTAGAGTAATAAATTTAATGCTAGATGTTAAAAAAATTATATTTTTAATTCTATGTGATTTATATATTCTAGTCTGTTTTTGTATACATAAAATCTATTATTCCGTAAGTGTCTAATATTTGAATATAGCAATAAAACTATAAAGTTTTCTATTATTTATCTCATTTCTAGTTTTTAGCAATTAAGGAAGAAAACGACAGTTAAGGTTTGATTTTGAATTGAAAAATATTTACATACTATTTTTTTAGGTGCACATAAAAAGACGGTTGTTGTTGGAGCAGTACTTGGCACCATTCTTGGCGTTTTAATCCTTGCAGTTATTGTTTATGTTGTTAAGTAGGTATAACTTTTCTATTTTTAAATGATAGCTAATCAACTGTTATCAAAAACTAGTGGCTAGTATATTTGTGGTAGCCAGTTTATTGGTATTTGGGAAGCTAGAATTACCTTTGCACATAGATTAGATATTTTGTATTTGTTGTAATTGTTATTTCTCTGCTACAGAAAAAATGCACCTCAAAAAGTGTAAATGTTGTGATGAACAGTAAATTTAAAAGAAAAATGTGTTGCTTTAAATACGTTATAAAAGTAACGTTTTTTTTGAGGGTGGGATATTTTCAGTGGGTATAACACATAAAGTTTATTGAATATTAAAAGTCTTCATAGTGCTGAACTAGTCATTTTGAAGTAGTTTTTATGCGATAATGAAATTGAAAGTAAAACAAAAAAAAGTCTCTTTTTAATTTCAATTTTCTCTTATTTGTTAAGCAAAAATTAATACAAAAATTAATAATTAAAAATAATACAAAATATTTGAACTGAAAAAATTAATGTATTATCTTTAATATTAAAATGAGAAGAATTTTTCTTAAAATTTAAATTTTGAGAAAAATTTCAATGGAAGTAGTATACCATATTTTATTAATGTTGACAATGGGTATTGGCCCAGTATATATATATTTCGTCTGCTATACCTCGGCCAGAGCTCTTTCAGTATGCAATGATACAGTTTCAAACTCAGCGGACTTTTTCCCTTTTCCGCACCTGGTGATTATACTGTAGTTGAACACAGACAAAGTTTGCTTCATCGATTTTTTTAAATTTTTCATGCGCAAAATTGTTTGCTCAGTTTATTTAGTTTCTACCAAAGGAAAGTCTAGTTATTTCAATTCCGATGTTCATATTCGATTAGTTATTTCATATTCGAAGCGATGATATAGTTCCGAAACTCAAAGGACTTTTCCCCTTTTCCGCATACTGCTACCTGGTGATTATACTGTAGTTGCACGCAGACAAAGTTTGCTTCATCGGACTTTTTCACTTTTTCATGCGCAAAATTGTTTGCTTAGTTTATTTAGTTTCTACTAAAGAAAAGTTTAGTTATTTCAATCTCGATGTTCGTATTCGATTAGTTATTTCATATTCAAAGTGATGATATAGTTCCGAAACTCAAAGGATTTTTCCTCTTTTCCGCATACTGCTACCTGGTGATTATACTGTAGTTAAAATCAGACAAAGTTTGCTTCATCGGACTTTTTCAATTTTTCATGCGTAAAATTGTTTGCTCAGTTTATTTTGTTTCTTCAAAAGGAAAGTCTAGTTATTTTAATTTCGATGTTCATATTCGATTAGTTGTTTCATATTCAAAGCGATGATATAGTTTCGAAACTCAAAGAACTTTCCCTCTTTTCTTTTCCGCACACTGCTACCTGGTGATTATACTGTAGTTGAACAAAACCACGCACACAAAGTTTGCTTCATGGTTTGATGATGATAGCATCGAAATTTTTTCATTTTTTCGTGATCAAAATTGCTTGCCCCGTTTATTTTGTTTCTACCAAGGGAATGACTAGTTATTTCAATTTCAGCATTTTTTCAATTAGATTGAGATTTGGACATTTATCTTTATTTGGAAGAATCATGAATCGGATTATGATCAATTAAGGAAACATTTGGAATAACTTATTTTAAATTTTGAAGATGTTTCTCATTTCATGTTTGAAGATGTTTCATCTATTTCTAATTTAATGGATTATGATTTTCGTGATTCCTTTGAAACAAACACACAGTATCAATTTACATCCCTAGCAACAATTTTAGTTTGATCTTAGCACGATTCTAAATTGTCTCAACAACAGTGCAATAATATGTTCCAAAAGACCATGACTGGAATATCTAGATTTTGCCCCAATGGATCTAGATAAGGTTGAAAAATTAAAGTTTAAACTGTTATTAATCTGTTATGAATATGTTTTCTTACTTTTTTTTTCTTCTTCCAAAGGCAAAGGAAAAATTCACATTCCGAAGATTTTTCCCCAGCTCCTCGGCTAGATAATGCAGAAATGGTAATTATAAAAAACTAATTAAATTAACATAAAATTAGCCAAAAATAAATAAGGTAGCTTGGCTTAAATCTTAGATTAATTTTTTTTATTTTTTTCCTAAAAGATCTGAAGAATGTAAATTAAGAATTTGCCATAATTGCATATTAATAATACAGAAGAAACTATAAATACAAATAATTTTTATGAAGTCATTACATTATAACTAATTATCAAAATTAGGTTATGTTTTACAGTTTAAATGTTTTACTTTGCTTGCTTTTGCTTGTTGTTGATGCTAAGTTAGTTTGTTTCTGTTAGTTGGTAATGTTTAGTTAGTTTGTTTTGTTAGTTCTTAGTTTTGGTTAAATTTTGTATGAATTGTTAATGTTTTATTTATTTACCTTGTAAAGTTTGTGTTTCTATCCAGAGCTATGGAAGGAATATTACTTTTAAGTAACGATTTATAAATAAAAAGTTTTTTTTTTTTTCATCAAAGCAATAAATAAATAATGTTAGTATATTGGAACACACAAGATAAAAATAATGAGGTAGGTATATTTAAAAAATCTAAAATTGCAAAAATTAGATAAATCTTTTGAAAAGTCTTAAGTATAAGACTAAAAAATTTTTATGATTCCATTTTTAAATTATTTGACTACAAACAATTTCGTGAATTTTACGAGATAGTCATTTTGCATTGAATACATTTGACTATACTCAACCCATGTAGAGCCAGAGCTTTTTGTGCTCATACAATGACCTTGGGAGCAGGCTCAGTCGAGTGCGGAACCTTCTATGTTTAATCCCCAACTATGCTTGATACAAATTTATACGATCTACTGAAGGGATAAAAGGCTGAGGAAAACTTGCCAGGTCTGACTGTAGAACCCGGAACCTGTGTCACGAAAGCACGAGACACTGCTTACATTTGACTACTATTTTACTATTTGTCATGCTATGTGATGCTATTATACTATGGGGGACTATTTGTCACTTATATAATTATAAATATTTTTCTTTTATAAAGTAACGAAACGGGAAGACCAAGTATTTTCTTTTGATCTTCTCTCAATATGATTATATTGAGATGAATACGGAAAGAAAAATATGCTATAATTGGTAGTTAAAAATATGCTGTACGGACAAAATGAGCATAACAATACATTCGATAAAAGCAAAGAATGATAGCAAAAGAAAACAAGTACGTAATGATAATACTAATACTCTATTTTCAGGCAGAGCTTAAGAAGTGTTGGTTTTTAAAAGCAGAATATAATTAATATTGAGTACCTAAAGTTGTAAAATTCGGTTGATAATTCGCGAAGAAGAAATTATATCTAGATATCTGGGTATATGTGCCAGAAAGAAAGTTTTGTAATAAAAAAGGGTACTTTTTTTGTAAATTACTAAGGAAAATACTAGGAAAAAAACTACACTTGCAATGACGTAGAAGAAAAATTACTTATTTTAAAAGGTGTTAGGATACAAGAAAAGGTAATACATTTTAAAAGTAGTGAAGTAAAAGTTAAAATACAAGTAAAGAAAGATGAAAGCAAATATTAGGTGCTTGGGACTTGTACTTTCGTTACTTGTAATGTGTAACTTGTAGCTTTTTATCTAGTGATTGGTTTGATATGCACATAATATGCCATCTTATCTCAATGCTAAAGGGGCTAAACTTAAATATGCTTATTAATTAATGCAAATGATATTTTAAATCAGACATAAAAACATAATTTTTCTGAATAAAGATACAGTAGATTTTTTCGACTGTAAAAACATGGTGGCGGGGAGGTTTGAAAAAGTATGGCCCCAAAACTTTGGGAGTACACTTTTGTCCAGAGAAAGTACCATTTTGCCCCTGATTTCTTAGCTTTAAATATTTGCACAAATATTTTAGCATATTTAAGATTAATTACTGAAATTATTATGCATTTTAGTTTGCTAAAATCCTATCATTAAATTAAAAGATTTTTGCACCGTATGTTGTTACTTGTCACTTGTTTGGTGTATGTTTATATAGTGGACAACGTATTTACTATATATTATTTATATATTATGTACTATATATATGCTATTTACTATGTTGAAAAATTAAAAATTCTTTGTCTTTTATAACTTTCATTCACAGACGGAGAGGAGGCCAATGAGGGGTATTTCGAACAGAGCTTACCAGTGAACCAGTTAAAAAATAACTGTTCATCCTGTACATTTTGTACCATATTTAAAGATAGATTGCATCAGAGTGAGACTGTTTTGAAGAACTGTATAAATATTACCGAATGAATAAGACAAGTCATGACTCCTCCGCTTAGTCATTAAGAAAATAATTTATTCTAGAACTTTTTTTAAACGTTTATTTACAAGTGTGAAATGAACTTATTGTTTTATTTCTAAGGACTTCATTTTAATTGCGAGAGTTGTTTTAAATTTTGTATGAAATATTTTAATAAATGTATTTCTAAGATTTGTATTTAATTGAATTAAATTACAGTTTGTCACTTGCTTGATTGATTCAGAGTGCTCTGTAAATACCACACTTAATATAAATTTTAGAATAATTTTTTAAAAAAGTCAGAAAACTATGCTTTAGAGTGTTACAAAGAAATATGTTGAATCCTTACAGAAGAAGTTGGGACTGAAAACACCAAAATCTATTTGATTGCTCAGCAAAACAGACAGGTGTTGTGAGGCGTAAGTTCGAAACCCATCCATGTATTAATAGAAAATCAAGCTGGTTTTGATAATTTGATCCCACCTTTCTTGCTTTTTTTATGTCAGAAACCTGGTTCAATGAATAAAACATTCGCCTCCTAAAGAGGTGATCTGGGTTTGAATCTCAGCAATGGCTGATTGTTGCGAATTCTACTCCCGACTCACACCTATCATAACGTTGTACCGATCATAATGTATCCCGACTCACACTTATCATAACCTAAATAGTAGACGGATCATGGGTTAAACTCCCCTTGCTGTCGGGCTAGCCATGGGAGAATTTTGCTAATCGTAGTTTTCCTCTCCATGTTACACAAATGCGGATTAGTTCCATTAAAAAGAACTTCGCAATGACTGATTTGTCCCAATGGCTGATCCAGCAGTTCCTTAGTGTTGTAGGTGGGAATCCAATTCACAAGACTACGGAGTTAAACATTGATAATCGTAAACTCAGAAATGGTCCTATTGTTCAACCTCGGCGTTTATGAATAATAATTAACTTTAGGTGTTGTTTTTATTTTTTTCCACGAATATGTATTAATTTGTGATTCATTTATTAAATGATCAATTTATTAACTGCATATGCTCCAAAAATGGAACTTGGAATTTGAGCAATTAAAGTCTGAATAATATTATTTTTCATGTATTTAAAATTTATGCTATGAAGTATTGATTGTTTCATTTAGTATGGTTCTGTTTTCATAATTACGGTATTTTTTTAAATGAATTATGGAAATTTGATACAATTTGTAAAGTTTTTTCCTGCTTGTTATATCATTTACCAAAAATCCAATTCTTATAATACGGCTACAATACTTTCAAGCTTTTAAAGGGATAAAACAACCCTTTGTTAGGTATTGAATTCGAAATTTTATTAAAAATTTTTTTAGTTTAAAATATTAGTTTAAAACTGAATATTTTATTTTTGGAGCATTGGCGTTTCAAGGGTTACTTATACCTTTCAAATGATGCATTGAGTTACGTTGTGTGCATTTCATCCAATTGATATCATGACACTCATTCAAAATAAATAATGATGTTTGAATTGGAAGGTGACATGTTCGTCTCAAAGTTCGATTCGTTTGATATAAATATGAGGGTGGAATTTTCAAATAATGGATGGTACTCTTACATAACAGGATGACAAAGACGGAATACCTAGGAAGTAGTAAGATATGTACTCTTACATACTCTGTGACTTTTTCTTGTTATTTTGGAGAAAAAAATCTTTCTGATAGAGATACGATTTTCAGGGGGGCTGTAATGCTTTTTTTTGAATTATTTGACAATGATACAGTTAAAATTTAGCATTAAAGTGTTTTTCAATGCGTTCTCAGCAATGTTATTGCATAGATTCTTATTGTTATTGATAGTTCTTCCTTTCTAATTTTTGTGATTTATTTTACCTGTGTGATAAATTTGGTGTCACAGACTGAGTTCTAGAAAAATTTTGTCCTTTTTTTTTATTCGTCTCATTTACACATTTCGTTTTCTTTTTGTCCCATAAGTAAGACACGCATAACGGTACAACAAGTATTGGCTTTGTTAAAAAGATTTTCGGATTCAGTTTGGAAGATATAACTATTTATCAACTTCAGCCAAATGAACCAGGAGTTTTTATATGCACGTAAAACATAGATGAAAATAATTTAGGCCCAGTTATGCCATTCCATATCTGTAGAATATTATTTTGAAAAGTAATATTGACGAAGATGACGTAGAAATCAAATCCTTGAGTCAAGAGCAAATGTAAAACAAAAAAGTTAAAGTCCTATAATGAAAACGAATAATAAAGTGAAATTCGGTGAGCTAACACAACGGAACTGACAAAAAGGAAAGCAATTTTGAAAAATTGTCAAAAACTCATAAATTGTGCTCCTATATAGACGTATTTTAAAAACCATTCCAGAGAATATCGTCAATATTTCGATAATATATAATCATTTCATGCTTTAAAAAAGTTTTAACTGTTAATATATTTCTCAAAGAGATATTTAATATTTTCATGGTCTTCTAAGTGGATATCATTTTGTTCTGACAGAAATTATACACTGGAATGTAGTTGAAGCTATCGTAACCACAATCAGTAGAAAAAATTCACGCCAAAAGCAAATGTTCCAAAAATGGAACGTCGTCAAAAACTCACTTAACGAATGTTTTCACCCAATTTTTTTATTTTATTGTCTTTAAAGGTTCTTTAGTGAATTTATCAAATTTCAAAACTGTTTGATTTAACCTTTCTTAATTCGCCATGAAAACGGTTAATATACAGAGATGCCAACTTGCTCCGGAGAGCAAATATATATTTTAAAGTGGTAGTTTATTAATTGTGATTCTTAGTTTAATAAATTCAATTTATTAGATTTTTATCCACCACTATTTCTAAATAATTAGTAGGCTCATATAATTCCCCACTTTATAGTAATTATGTCATGCTATATCTTTCATAAAGCAAACAAAAATAGTCAAATATTTGCAAAATTAACTTTGTTGTTATTTACCGTTTTTTTAAATTATTTTGGCGTGTCCAGAGCAGTTGGCATCTCTGAATATACAAATGTTTCATACATTTTATTCCGTAGTTACCCGTGGAACAATAAAAATCATCTCCTTACTTTTTATAACTTTCAATTAAACTTAGAAAACAATTACTGAACAAACAACAAATTTTTCATTAAGTAGTACTTTTCGAGTAAAATTAATAAGCATTCAAAATAACGAAGGGTAAAGGAGCATGAATTCCTCGAGAGGAGACAATGATAGTTTTTGCTTGAATTGTGTTTGTGGGGTTTGTTTCAATTGCAGGTTTCAGTAATTTTAGTTAAAACCCTTATCCATGGTTTTAGTTTCAGTGTCTCCAGTTTCGTAATTCTGAACACACTGGATAAAATGCTATTCAATTCAAAGCGTTGTATGGAATAGTTCAAGCGAGACAAAAATGATTTCCTGCGTCAGTATGTGACATTGGATGAAATATGGACCCACTATTATAAACAACTGAATTAAAGACAATCGTATTCTGAGTAAAAAGCAGTCAGTGACACTTTAAATATTATTTTACAACCGTAGTTGAATTGCCGACCCAATTTTTGGGCTTACGACTACTAATGTTTAACTCCGTATCCTTGTAATTTTGAACCCAATCCAGAAGACAAGAGAACTTCTGGATCAAGTATTGGGCGATAATTTTGCCTTCGTGGAGGATTTTTTGATGGAACTAACCCACATTTGGGTTACATGGAGAGGAAGACCACGAGAACCTCCCACAGTTAGCCAGATTGCAAGGGAACCCATGATCCGTCTACCAATGCAGATATTTCACGTCAGCACTGTGGTCGGTGCAAGCCGGATGCGGAATTTGTATCAACCAGCCATCACTGGGATCTAACCGGTTCACCTCATTGGAAGGCGAACGCTCTATCCCCTGAGCCATCGTGGCTCAGTCAGTGACACTTGTCTAAAATGACCAAAATCTCACTAAGTCACCAGGAAAGGTTATGACATCAGTATTTTGAGACGCGCATGGTATTTTGTTCATCGGCTATCTTGAGAAAGACGAAATATAAAAAGCGAATACTACGTGACATTGTTGAATCGACTAAGTGAAGAAATCTGATGTATGCTTAAGAAGCGGAAAAACTACTCATTCTTTTGTCATGCAAAATAAAAATTTGAATCATTTTTCGGATACTGTTGACATGGTAGAAGACTTTTGTAAAACATGTGTGCAAATAAGAAACTAAAGCAGCGAGCTGTCGTCGATTATTTTTTCTTCCTTTATAACTTAATTTTATTTTTTTATGAGTTTGTGGTTGCGTTTATTATGAGAAGTATAGAAGTTATTAACTTAATATAAAGCGCAAAATTAAGAAAAAAGCGCAAAATTAATTTACATATTCATAATTGAAATTTGAGATTAGAAAACACAAATAGGTAAGAGATATAAATAATAGAAAATGACAGTGTATAGTAAGATTTTTATCAAAAGAAATTTCTGAACTGATAACATGAACTAATTTGATGGTGAACAAATTTTCTGTCTCCCAGTGACTTGACATAAACGAGGTTTGCCTGTATTTAAAATGAACATGTCCAAGATATTAACTATGGCTAAGTGTATTAGCAGAGAGGCAGACTCTAGTACAGTTTTCAATTCGATTACTTACAACTGGGATCTCTGGAATCTTTTTTTATGAAAAAAGTCGCATTTCATTGATTCTGAGAACAACATTTCTCACTATCTTTCATGTTTTTTTTCATTAATGTTGTTTATTAAGGGTTTACTTATTGGAAGTTAATAGGCTACACATTTTTTATTTTTTTTATGTTTTATTTATTTATTTTTTTGCAAATGACATTATTTTTTATTGTGGTAAACGGTGTAGTTTGTTAACCACAACATGGAATACATGTGAGCAGCGGTAATTCACAAGTCCAAACAAGAAAATTTGTCCTATTATATTCCACTGGATCACAAATTTAATACAGTTGAAATAAAATTCATAGCCCTGATAGTTGAAAAATCTCCGAAATGCAAAGAAAAAATAGCGAAATCTACAAATCTTATTCCTTGACCATTCAACTAAGATAAAGAAGGATGTTAAGTTCATCCTGCCCCAACTTCTATTTCCACTAATGAAGAAATAAATAATAAAAACAAAGGGGCAGGGGTGATTGTATTCCGGCACTACCCCGGAATTCCGGATTTTTCGTATCTTTCTCTCGGATCTAAAAACTAGAAGAGGGGCATGCGATTTTCGCACGAATATACTGTAATTCCGCGTATAAGCCATATGTTCACGGACTTCCACGAATCGAAAACTTATAATCCGAAAAACTTTTGAAGCTTTTTCTTGATCCCGTTAACGAGCCGTTTACATACCTTCTTCCGCCAATTACGTGAAGAATTTCATCTTGCATGATTCTTCCGCCAATTACGTAAAGAATTGCGTCTTACATGCTGCTAATATCATGATTCTTATTTACGCTATTTTAAACATCAAATATCGATTTTCGAATTTACTTGATTTAAAAGCAACGCATTGCGATTGAAAAATTATACATCGCGATTCCTATTCACGCGAGTTTAAAATCCAACACCTTGATTCGAATTAACGCGTTCTTAAAATCTATGTTGTGATTCGTATTCACGCGTATGTAGTATAAAACATCGATTTTCGCATTTATATGTGATTTAAAAACTACGCATTACGATTCGTATTGTAATGATCTAAAACTTTTGCACAGTGATTCGTATTTACGCGATTTAAAAATCCAATATCCCAATTTGTATTTTTGTTTTTTTGAAATACAATATCACGATTCATATTCACACGATTATCCTAATCACAATATCCCAATTTGTATCTTTGTTTTTTTGAAATACAATATCACGATTCATATTTACACGATTTTAAAATTCAATATCGGGATTCATATTCACGCGATTTTAAAAACCGATATCGTGATTCCTATTCATGTGATTTTAGCATCCTTTATCGCGATTCTTGTAGGAAGTTAGTTTTTCATTGAATTAGTTAAGGTGCGATGTTCTGCATTAGTAGATAATTTAATTTTTAATGTCAGTTCAAAAACTTATGTTAAATAAGAAACATGTTTGGTATATAAATTGGTATAGATTTTTTCCCGAGATTTTCAGGATTTTTCACTTAGTGCTACAGTTACCCCTGAAGGAAGTTAATTGTCAAAAACTCAAATTATTTATTCGAGGAAACACTATATCGAAAGCTCACAACATCAAAGTTCAGGCTCCTGATTCTTCTACGAATTGATAATTTATAATCCAAGAAAATGTCTCAGAGTTTCGCTAATCTAAAATTTAAATTTTGTTACTTACGCAAAATCTCGTTAACGAGGCATTTATTCCGACCTTACTAGCTCCCTTTTTTCTTCTTCTTCTTCCTTAGATCTCTTTCACACACGCTCAATAATAATTTTTTTTTTACATAGATTTGTTACAGAAAAACGCAATTTCGACTAAACTTCGAGAAAAAAAACTCATAGCTTTGGCTAGAATTTATAAGCCACTAAGGCAAACACTAAAGTATAAAATTGTAATTTTTTAATAAAATTGCAAAAGAAGTAATTTTTCTCATCGGGGTTAGTCATATTTAACAACAATTTTAGTCTATTTATGTTTGAAAAAAGAATGGAATCAACAGTCAAATTTTTTTACCCCAAAAAATTATTACAATATGTTTAATTTTAACATTCTAACATCTATACTAGTAGTTCAATATAAAGATAATACCTGTATATAAGAATTTAAAAAAAAACAGAAAACGGAATTTAAAAATATTTGAATTCAAGACTACTACTTTCTTTACAGTGGATCCAAAAAGTGAACGTACACTTACATTTTTCATCAAAATAGGGCTCTGTTCATTAATTAAAATGAATATTTCAGAATAATTATTTAATGCTAAGATCTTAGCATTAGATTAAAAGTTTAGATCGGTTCTGAAATATTCATTTCAATTAATGAACAGAGCCCTATTTCATTGAGAGTCATAAGTGTACGAGCAATTTTGGGAGCCACTTATAACTAAAGACAATCAGAAACATGAAGTCATTTACAGACAAATCAATCATCAAAGTAGTCTTTATCATCCTTTATTTACTTAAATCCAAGGAACTAATTATTAATCATTGAGATGTGTACAAGGAGAAATCATGATTGTACAAAACAATTCAAAAGATTATTACATTTGAATTTTAGCAACAGAAGTAAGCTTACTTCCGAGATCTAAGAAAGCAGAGAATGATTGTTATGAAGCAAGTAAGTGATGCAATTAACAAAGCTAACACAATACTCCACTCTAACTTATCTGGAAAAAAAATATACATCACTAAATTTTTAATATCCTAAAATTCAAAAAAATTCATACATTTTAAATGGCAACATAAGAATTCAGAAAATAAAGATCTGCTTTGTTATCTTAATTTTTATGGCACTTAACAGTTTTCGGTCACGCTGTTAAATACCCACCACGTAGGAACAACTCCTTAAGATACCTCTACCCTAACCGTCTTAGATTCTTGGTTAATTTTGAATTTGTATTTTCCCTATATTTTTTTTTGTATTAAACAAACTTTTAATGAAATAGACAGATTAGACAGCACAATACTTTTCAAAAATGGTATGGTCGTTTTATTAGTTTAAAAGAAATAGCCCTTGATAACTTTTGGAACTTAAGCGAATTTTTTCCTAAAAATTTTGAGTAATAAAATGATGCGATTTGTAGTTTTGAGTAAGCAATTTAAAACTACACGTTTCTCAGTTTTTAGATTTTTTTAAGATCTAATTTTATTGCAGTTTAAACTGAAGAAAAGTGGTCTGGATGTTGCTAAAAATTTTCTTCCACCTTAATTGCAAAAAAAATAAAGATACTTATCCAAAAATCTAAAAACTAATAACTTTTTACTATTTAAATATCTTTAAAAAACTGAATATTGTAAAATTGTTTGGCATAATTTTGTGCGAAAAACTGATTGCGAATCTAACATATCGCGCGCTTTATGTCTCAAATTATGATATGGTGATGGTTTTATATTTTTCGTGTACCGAAAGATAGTGCCAAATGGAGAAAATATCCTTCATCAGTTCACTTGTGAAAAATAAATTAAAAGGTTTAAAAGTGTATTTAGAATTTTCCCTCCTCGTCTCCACCCCTTCGTCAGTTGAGTTCCATAGTGAGGGGAGGGGTCTCCTTAATAATCGCTTTAATTTCCCACCAAAGAAACCCTTCAAACATTATCAGAACAAAATCCTTACCACAAATAAAAGATTTAGAAGATTTCGTAAACCGAGAGTAAACAGATTTGTAGAGATATGCACATTTTTACGAAAAATTAATATTTTTGCCTTACCTTTTTTCATTATAACTTTTTAGATATTAAATGGAATTAAACCAAATTTTTGAAGCAATTCAAAATTAATTACAAAATTGTCGATTTAAAATAAAAGACAATTCGTCTAAATCTGTGCAATTTATTATTATTTGAGCTATACTGCACATGCAAAGAAAAACTTTAAAAGGTTTTTTCATAATTTTGTAGTGACTAGTATTTGGCAACTAATAAAAAAATATTAATTTGAATATCATAAAAATTTAAAAAGTTTCAAAGAAATAATTTTGAAGTTGTTTTTGTACTTGAAGTAAGCTATAAATAATCAGGATTTTTTACAAATTTTTTTGCATCTTGAGACACAATTTAATAACAAATGATAATACCTTACAATAATCGTCCGGAAGCTATAATCTTTGATGGTATCGAGAAAAGGAATATGCAAAAGAAATCATACTTCCATTGGGTGATCCCACACATTGCCAGTCTCAGTTTTAATAAATCTTGTTTAGTACATGATGAAATTTGTGGATAACCCCTTATCGTTTTGGGCTTTATTTTAAAAAGTACAAAAAATTCCTAGGGAGTTACCTGAAGCTTAGTTTAAAATTTTTAAAATACTCAAATTAAGCTTTTATCATTAATTGCCAAATACGATTCCCTACAAAATTATGAGAAAACTTTTTAAAGTTTTTTCTGCGCATGCACTGTATAAAAGAGCTAGCTTAAACACTCTTAACTTGCGCCGTTCTTAACGAATTATTTTAAAATTTAAAACCAACAATTTTGTACTTTATCTTAAATTGCTCCAAAAATTTTGTTTAATTCCATTGAATATTTATGAAGTTACAGCAAAAACAGGTAAGCCGAAAAAATTAATTTTTTATAAAAATGTCCATAGCTTCATAAATAGTTACTCTAGGTTTATGAACCTTTTTGCACTTATTAAAAATAGCTAAATTAATCAATACAAGTTAGTTTTTTGCTAGTTTCTTCAGGCATAGGGTGTTCAAAAAAACTTCCGTTTTCTGTTTTTTTTTTCGTAATTTAATGTAGGTCTTGCAAATCTCCGAATGCTGTAAATCTTATCGCTAACTATGAAAAATTGCATGAACGAAATACCTCAAATGTTACAAAATAATCCTTTAAGTATTTCTTGAGAAATTTTTAAAAAAAATTAAGAAACTGAAAATGTACTCGTATCTTCTATTACTTTAGGGTAGTGTATGTTAAATACTGTAATTTTTGTGCAACCTTAAATTAATTATTATAATTATTAAAATCAGAAATGTAATTCCATTTTTCTCCTGTTACATCTCTTTTTCTTTCGGCTAAAATCTTTAGCACAAGGTGCTTCAAATTTTTACCGCAAACGATGAGAGTACTTAGCAGTTTTTTGAATTTTTAACTCTTTTTTTTTTGTACTAATATTTGAGATAATTATCTTATTTCGAAGTCTCTTAAAAGAAGTACTGTCTCCTTAACTTGATTTCAAAGGGGTAAGCACAGCTCAGAAATGACATACAAGTAAAAGAAGTACAATTTCAAAATCAGAAATTAGATTCTTTTAAAAAAATTTTTATAACTTATATTGTTATAACTTATAGCACGATATTTCACTATTTTCTACAACTTTCGTAAAAAACGTTATATAGTTTTTTCGTTCATAATTTTTTTTTCCACACGACATAAGATGTAAGTTATATTCAAAACCTACGTATCAAACGTGCATATTAGGGTCAGCTTTATCGCCTTATTCCTGACTGAGGTTCTCTCTATTATCAGTAGGTGGCAGCACAATAGGAGGTGCTTTTTACTTCCTCTTGATGATACGAATGCATTGATTTATACCAATCTGAGCTGCTATGTCGTCATAGGAGGAGGACTTCCGGTTTGATTTGTTTTTTTCTTTTTTTAGGATAACGGGTGAGGAAATGAATGTGGGAAAACTGGATCCTTTCAAGTGATTCTCTGGTCAATAAAAATGTTCGGAGAACAATGGAAAGCTGTGAATTCATCATTAGATTTTTATAAAACAGTTGTGCGTGATTTATATTTAAGCTATACCCATATGAATTATTCCTAGCATTTTACTCACAATAAAAGAAAAAAAAATTTTCTTACCTGTGATTTTAGATATTTTTTGATCACAATCGTCTCCTTCGTAACCGTCGTAACACCTGCAAAATGTTTAAATTCGAATTGAAGTTTGAAAGTGCCATTCAGTTATGTTTTAAAAATAAACTTTTTATGACTTTTATTTAAATAGTCACCTGCATTTTTCGTGATAATCCACAACTTCACATTTTCCATGCACACAAATTCCCGGTTTGCAAATATCTAATAAAAGTAAATAATTTTTATTTTAAACATGAAACAACTTGAAACATTTAAATAGACTTGAGCTGAACTAGGGAATTAAGTTGTTTTGAAATTTTGAATTAAATGAAAAAAAATTAGTAATTTAAATCAGTATACTAATTTTGCATGCATTCTTCTTTAAAAAAATAGCCAAGAGGTAGACCAATTCAATGATTTCAGTAATACTAATTTAAAATTTCTACGCTTTAGGATTCAAAATGTAAATTTTTTAATAATGAATCAAGAAAATGGGTACTTGCTTTCACGTTCTTGGCTTTCAGACATAAAAATGAAAACAGAAATGGACAATTAGTGAGAAATGCTCAACAACAACCAGAAATGGACAACTTCAATTTGTGATGAAACTAAGTTAACTGTAAACCGAGTTAAAAGCCAAAACATCGATACTACTTCAATACTTTTTTTAGTATTTTGTTCATAAAAGCATCTCCTGTGCTCGGAATAAAAATAAAACCAGTTCTGAAACGTTCGATAAGGTTTTCTCTTTCTCGCACATACATAAAGTAAACTCGTTAATCAGCTGAACTTCTTTCATGGCTTCGGCGATCTTTTTACTTATACTTATGAGGCCTGTTATGAGGAGAGAAAGCATTTAAAAAGAAACAGTTTATTGTCTCCGCCAAAATCACGTTGCTTATTAGATATTTTATTCATCATTTTTTTCAAAGCGATAAATAACCAAAACAGAAGTCACCATTTAAAAAAGTTTTAAAAATTAGATCTTGAACCTTTGCGTTTTTATTTATACTGACAATTTTGATTTCTGAAGAAATTCTATGTCTCTACACCTTTTTTTATATTTCTGTATTCCAGTTAGAAAAAAAATCTTTTATTTGATGAATATTATATTTCTTATAGATTTGTTTCTTATTTCGTAAATCTAATAATCAGCCCAGTTGCAGAAACCTTTAAATAAATATGCAACACAAAGGGATATTTCTGAAATTTATGCGCAGAGCATGTGTTTAAACACTTATGTACAAATGATAGTAGGCTCATAAGTTTTAAAAGGCAGAAATGTCGAATACTGCTATTTAGCATAAATTACTCTAATACTTAAATAAAATATTTAACATTCATTAACTAAAATTTAATAGGAAAAGAGTTAAACTTAACCTATAAAGATGAAAGGCAAGCTGTTGATACAAAGGAGGTATTTTATAATTTTTTTGTATATGTAGTTTAAATTTGCCGGCAATTTGTTTTCTTTAATGCTTGTTTTCTTTTTTATCTAAAAGGCAAAAATCAATCTGCTGGTCCTGCCACCATGCTGATCTAGTTTTGCTACCAGGATAAGATTTAACAAAAAGCGAAAAACAAACCAAAAAATATCATCGGAGGAATGACTGATTTTAAGATTTAAAAATCTTGGAAACAAAGAGAGATAGATCATTGGTATATTTATTGTGAAATTTGTAAGAAAAGTAAACAGAAATTTTCGAATTTATTTACAAAAAATTTATAAAAATTATTATGAATTTTCTGTAAATAACAAATTTATTTTATAAAAAATTGCCAACAGATGGTTCGAAAGGCCACCGATGATCAAAATGACCAGTTCTAGGTTTAAAAAGTAAAAGCAGGTAGTCGTACTTGAATTATAAGGTTTAAAACGCACATTCTATGAAGTAGTGCGTGCTTCTGATACTATAATATCGCAGGCAAGCTTACAATCTTACAGCATTTATATTCGATTCAAGAACACTGTGCAGGAAATAGCGCCATCTTTTGGCAATTTCTGTAATTAAGTCGCAAAATTTGTGCGCATGAGTTTCACAGCTTTCAAAACCGACACACCGTTTGTTTCATATCTACGTTTCCCTCTATCACCCCAGGTTTCCGAGATTTTTAATTTTGAAATCAGTCAGACTCTAAAAGAGTCCTACTGTAGTATAAAAGAGTCCAGCTGTAAATAAATAAATAAAAGAGAAACGAGTGTTTAATGATTTCCGGGTTTCCAATATTTTTACTAATTATGATAAACTTGGCAAACATATTTACCTTCACAAATTTTCCGTTTTCTGTTGAATGTTCTGGTAGGAGGACATTCACAAAATCCTTTCCGCAGCAGTTCATTGTAAGTGCACACAGCTCCAATTGCATCACATTTTTCTATCATTGAATCGCAGACATCATTTGTTTCGCATTTGTCTCCTTTGTAATGCTCTTTACAACTGCAAAAGTAACCATTTCCGTCGTATCTGCATATTCCGCCATTTAAGCAATCACTGTTACTTCTACACATCGCTGTCAAAATAAAAAAAGTCACGTTATTAGAAAATATTTCGAAGTTTGAATAATTAATAAACAAAAGAAAGGGATGATAGATTCTGATTAATTGCATACTGGGAGTCCCGAAACTTGCAATTGGATACTTGCCAGCTACGTTTGCGTAGCATTCTTCAATTCGGAAGACAATCAGGTTTGACACACAAGTATGACGTCGCTTGCAAGTATCTAATTAATTCAGATTTAAATCTCACAAATAGACAAAATCTCTTCAATTCTACTAGAGATACGCGTACTCAATTAGGAATATAAATTAGGAATGTTTTTTGAAGGCTCTGCCGTTATACACGAAATAACGTCTTTTTCACGAATAATACGCTATTTTTATAATTGCTGTGGTTTTGAAATAGTTATTTATGAGTAGGTTAAATTTAGCCTATATTGGGCAAAAGCATTTTACGTTATTTCTGAAAATAGCCCAAAACGATATATGAAAAAATATGAAGAAAAAAAAACAAATTTTATGCATCGCCAAACAAATTTTATTTCGCCAATATAGCATCTTGCTATATTGGCGATTTTAAAAATAAGGTGAGCCAGGTAATTTTTTAAAGCAAAATTAAATGTATGCATAGTTAAAAATGATAGCCCTATCTCAAATGTAAGGCACTCTAACTGTGGGTATTTTTAGTAAGGTTCAGAAGACACTTGCAAATAAAACAAAATTGCGTTGGAATTCATGATTTGCTAAATATTTGTGCTGTCGACGACAAAATTAACTAAACAAGCTGTTTTTTTTATTTATTTTTAAACTTGAAATTTTCTGACATGCAGCATAAAAAGAGTTATATTTTTTTTCATTTATCAGCGTTATCTGTTAATTAACGTTGAAACTAATTTTGAAACTTGGGAAAATAAATAAAATAGTTTCCTAACTGAACAATGCCATATCCTTTTTTCTTTCATTAATGAACAGCTACTAAAAATTTCTTTTTAGGATGGAGCTAGTTTAACTGTTAAGCTAGTTTAAAGCCGAAACGTAAACATTTCCCCCAAAAAAGCCACTTTGTTTACAATGCAAAGTTCGTTACGTAATAAAACAGGTTGAATCTCTTTCCTTGCTTAGGAGATCACCTTAGTTATGAAGCAAACATAAACAGCAAACTAAAACAATTAAGATGCCTCACCTCGTATCGTTGATTGATTATGAAAATTGATTTTGAAAATTTTCAGTCACCAGTAGTTGAGAAAATTATAAACATGTCGATCATAACAAATGGTAGATGAATACGCAAATAATGTTTGGAAACATAACGTTTAAACCAAGAAAATTATTATTTTCCCAAAAATTCTGCTCCTAAAACTATTTATACTAAAATTGTATCGAACTTTTTTTTAAAATCTCATTATTGGTTATTTTAAGCATATTGTAAAAATTTTGAATAATACTAGAATGTTTAAGAAGCTATAAAAGTACGAATATATTATTTATAATATTAGTCGAATATATATTATAATATTAGTCGGCATTTTTACAATATTTAACTGCAGATTATGATTTAATATTGAGATGTTCAGAATAAATACATCATATTCCTTTTGAATATGAATTTTCAAGTAAATTTATTTTTCCCTTGGACAAATTTTGAATGTAGAATAAAGAGGTGTTGGATTATTTCAATTCATTTGATGCTCCATATAAGAAGAAAAAAAATAGTGGACCCAAAAATATGGAAACTGCTGTATATTTGGAGTAAATGTTTCACCTAAAAACCATGAGTGAAATAGTTTGAAATAATGCATCAAATGATGCTAAACTCTTTCGCTGAACCTCACCCCTGGAAACGAGAACAAAAACCAAGGGGATGAGGGTCGAGTTTTGTGCTTTAGAAATTCTTTTTTAAAATAAAGAATAAATGCATCTATTTTTATTCCGACAGTCTGACATGCATTCTTCGTTTCAAACAATCTTTGCTTCATTTTGCACTTACAACCTCATCTGAGAACAATAATCCTGCGATCCGTTGTTTCATATTATAATTTATAATCACACAGATTTCCAAATTTTAAGTTTCAATGTTCAGCTCCTTAGCTATCTGATTTTGAACCTAACCCAGAAAATGAGGGAACTCATTAATCGAGCATTTTGATAAGCTATCTTTTACAAAAGTCATTTTGGTGAAACTAACCTGCATTTGCGTTACATGGAAAGGAAAACTATGAAAGCCTCCCACGAATAACCCAACGGCAAGTATATTCAAACTTATGATCCGTCTAACACCAAGAAATTTTTTTAATCAGCTCTGTGATCGGTGGGAGCTTGGAACAGATTTCGTATCGATAAGTCATCTCTGGGATTCGATTCGAATTTGGGCCACTTAATTTGGGGGTGAGTGCGTGTTCTATATAATCTAAGAAACCACAAAAACCTGTTAGTCAAATATGGGTACATTTTTCTGAAAAATCCAAATCAGGAATAAATACTGGCTGCTTCCATAGTAGATTTTGAAATGGTTTTTTCCCTTCACCTTATTGCTGAGAGAGACAAGTTTGTGATCCGTTGTTTAATACGTTTTTTTTTTTTTAATATTTCAATCCTGTATTTTAGAAATTTTGTCTCATACACATTTCGAGAGATATTTTACATTATTTTTAGATACAGTAGACAGCAGGAGAGTAAATATATAATTTTATAGAGAGAAAGTATATTATTATAATAGCTTTTATTTTCAGTCTGATGCATATTTTAATTTTTGCGCATTATTCTTACGCCTTTTATTTTTAGCGTATTAATAGTTTTCAGTCTAATGCATATTTTGTGAGTTATTTTACTGTTTCTATATTTTTACATCATGCAGATTACAGGAATATAACGTTTTACTATAATTTTTTAATCCAATGCGTGTTTTAATTTTTACTTACTATGCATATTATTAAGTAATAACAAAATCATTTATGTTGAATTAGTAATAACATTTGTTTGGTAGCATAACAGCATAAAATTGCACAAAATGCAATAGAGAACTTATTCCAAAAAAAAAAAACGGTTCAACTGTCATTTGTCATATAAATAGTATAATTATAGAATAGGAGCCGTGGTGGCTCAAGGGATAAGGCGTTCGTCTTCCCATGTGGAGAACCGGGTTCGAATCAAAGCGATGGCTGGTCGATACGAATCCCACACCTGGCTCTCACCGATCACAGTGCTTATCACCGTGAAATATCCCCAGTGGTAGACAGATCGGGCTGGAGTCCCCTTGTCGTCTAGCTAACCGTGGGAGGCTCTCATGGTCTTCCTCTCCATGTAATGCAAATGCGGGATAGTTCCATTAAAAAGTCCTCCACGAAGGCAAATTTCTCCCAATACTTGATCCACGAGTTTTCTTGTCTTCTGGATTGGGTTCAAAGTTACAAGGTTACGTAGTTGAACATTAGTAGTCCTAAACCCAAAAAAGTGGGTCGGCTGTTCAACGACGGTTATAAAATATAATTATAGTATAGCTGTAAAATAGTATAGTTTTATATACAATAAAATAGTATATAAAATATATAGTTATACCATATAATATAGCATAGTTATTATAATTAATAATAAAATTGTAAATTCATAATCTTTCAAAAGATAACTTTCGCAACTTCTATTGTCAACAAGTTTTGAAGATATATTTTTTCTTCTTTTTAAAGTGTTTAAAAAATAAACTTAATGCTTATGACCTTGGATATAACTTTTAATACCTTGTCTTGAAAATTTTACCTGCACATGTTATGTTTCTTTGGGCGTAACCTGCAATACACATGCATTTTTTGTTTCCTACATCATCAAATGAGCAAGATAAGCTATGTTGACCACAATAACAATCTAAAACATAAATGAAAGAGAATTTGTCAATGAATATGCTTATCATGTTTTTATTTTATCATATTGTTAAAAAAATATTGTATCCTGAAAATATCGAATTATTTTGCACAAGCTATCTTTCTAAATTTCATTGGTTTAAAATCCCCTTAATGATTTTTCAACTATTTTTCAAACATTGAAATTTTATTAATAATGAAATGAAGAGTTTGTGTGTGTCTTTTTTGTAACTTTAGAATCATTTATGCTAGCGTCCTGAAATTTAAACAGTGTGCGAAGGTGGTAAATTTCGCTCTCAATCCTATAATATTGATTAAAAAATTTCAATTAGATCGTATGAGATAGAGATTAGAAAAATGGTAGTTACTGATTTGTTAAGTATTAACCGATGTTCTAAATTTAATTATTTTCAATTATTAACTGCTCCTCCGCCGTGACTTCGTCACAGGTGCCTACTGGGTAACACGAGAAGAGAGTAGCAGTCCTAGCACTCCTGGCCAATGGGACAATACATTCCAAGTGCCCACTATTAAAAAAAATTTGGTAATAGATACTAATTGAAACAAAATAAAAAACTGCGTACTAAAAATCGAAATTAGTGGAGAATTGTTAAAAATTTATTTAGGAGAAGCGGGAAAGGTTTAGTAATGCTTAATTAATTCTGGTAATAAGAAAATTGAAATAAAAAATAAACTATGCATTAGGCAAAATTAATAAAAAAATGATTCAGATTTGTTAGGGAGAATCGTAAAAAATCGGAATGCCATTATTGACGATAATGATACTTACTTCCGGTTATAAGTATTAATTGAAATAAAAAAAAATCTATGCACTAAAAAGCAAAGTTAATTGAGAATCGGTACTAATTCGTTTAGGATGAAAGTAAGAAATAGCCATGTACTATTTTTGACGCCTATGATATTTAAGTTTAGTAATATGCACTATTTAAAATTTAAAAAAACGAGTGATGTTCAAAGCTAAATTAATAGGGAAATGGTATTAAATGTATTTAGGGAAGAGTAAAAAATTACCAATCTATTAATAACTCCAATTATGCCTAATTAATTTCCGTAATGTGTACTAATTGAAATAAAAAGCAAGCTAGGTACTCTATCTACTTATTAAGGCAAAATTAATGGAGAGAAAGTGCTAATTCGTTTTGGAGATTCATAAAAAATCGTTATACTATCATTGAGGACAATAATGTTTAATTCATTTTGATAATTGGCACTACTGATATTAAGGTAATTGGTCCAGTTTTAATAGGTATCAAATATACTAATAAATGTATAATGTATTTGACACCAATTAAAACAGCATCAATACTTGGAAGCTTTAATATAGATACTGTGGAAAGAGCTTGAAATAGTTTTTTAATGGACTTTCTGAAGGAATAAGTATCGAGAAAAGTGGTTGATTGTGGTAGATTTTGACTATCATGAGTTGGCGTTAAACAATTGCATCATTTAAAATGATATTGAATGCGATTACTGTTCATTCTGATTAGATAGACTACTAAAAACGTATTTTGCTTAATATAATTAACGCTAAGTCCTCAGAAAGGACAAAATATATTAAATTGTGTTTGTTTCAATTTTGTGAGTGATTTCATACTGTTGTTCAGTACTAATATATTGATTGTTCAGATTTTTCATCCCGATCGATGAATGGGCATACAGCTAGTAAAATATAAAAAATAAGACCACGACAAAAAATTAAATAATCTTATAAAACTTCAAATGAAACACTCTAAATAAGTATAATTATTTCTTTTATCATAACTAAATTAAATGTCTAATTCCAATTTATGCAATGTGAAATATTTGTTATCAATTGAGTTACAATGAATATTATTTAAATTTAGGATAAGTAGTGAAGTTAGCTTTTGGTTTTTATTTTCAAAATACTTCTCATCTGTTGCGCATTACAATTCCATTCTAATGAACAATACTTCAACATATTCCTTTTAAAATAAAATTTTAAATTAATCATGTCTTTTAATATATTTTACTATATATGTCTTCCTACGCAATAAGTGTTTCTATCTTCTAAGTTTGAAATATGTTTATTGCACTCTCAGAAATAAAACTCTCACTTTTGACGTTCCAGCAATAATTGAGCAACAATTCGTTAATTTAGAGAATTATTACATTACGAAGCCGTGCGATTTGTTATGAAATAGAAACTCTTAAATATATGACGAAAATATTTCCTCTACTCGAAACCTCATGTATTGTAGGATATTGTTAGCTAACATAACGTAACTAGGAGGAAGACTGAACGATCAAAAATAAAGTAACGAACTGAGTTGGCCGACTCCTATGGTAGTCAAGCATTTGGCATCGTACAAAGAAGATCATGAGTTCGAATCCTGCCTCGGGCATGGGTGTAATTTTTCTCCCTGTTCTATCTGTTTTTCTTGCGTTGTTAAGTTGAAATTGATACAGCTATATGTCACCCCTGATAACGTTTATAGGAAAAGTTTGTAGAGATTATTGGAAAAGTTAGGTGCAAAATTTTTTTGTGGAAAAAAATAGAATAATGAAATATTTCGTTATTCTATTCGAAATATTTCGAAGAAGTGCGGATAGCTATTTCGTCACTTTGCCGAAATGTTTCTCGGAGTAAATACCAGGAAAGAGTTTCGTCAAAAACAAAGGAAGTTTCGTGAAATTCGAGCATTTGTTTTTCGCAATGACATTTGTTTTTCACAGAATAGAATGGGTATGTTATTTTTACATATTATTTTAATGATAAATTTGCTTCGTCAATAATGCGTAAAATGCAGAGAAGCATTTTTACTGAATCTAAATAATAAATTTGCTTCGCTAATATTACGTAAAACTTACAAAAATATTTTTACCGAAATAAAATGGTAAATTTATTTTGTCAATATTAGGTACAATATACGAAATCTTTTTACCAAATTCTAAATGGTAAAATATAAGTTAATATTCTTACGTAAAACTATACAAANGTTTGGGGGGGGGGGATGAAAACTTACGGTCCAAAGCCAAATATCTTATATTATAACCACTTCATCACTACTTTCTTTATAGTGGGTAGAAAAAAAATCCTATATATATGTTATAATGATTAACAAAATATCTCGGTAGTAAAATTCCTAATAGGACCATTTGTTCTTCGTTCGATGTACATGCACGTCACATTGCTTGATTTTATTTTACAACCTATGGATTAAATATATAGTATATATCTTTGAGATAATGCTATAATACTTTAAGGAATGAAAATCTGTCCAGCCGTTCAGATGTTATAAGGCCAGTTTCCTTGCTGAATGTAAATATATATTTTAAATTTCAGTTAATTTAAACTATTCTTCTTTTCTGTATTTAGTAATTTAATGTCCATGTAAATTAAAAAGTTGTATAAAACATAGTTCTGCATGCCGATTCCTTTGTATTTTTCTGGCTTTCATCTACCGGTTCAAACTCATCAAGGCATTCACATTTATACGTATTCTCTTCTGGGACAAACTTTGAGTTTGCTCCTGGACAATCATAATCTTTACACCTGTGTGCAACTGCTGTTGATAGAACTTAATTGTCATAACTGAAACTGGTAGATGGAATAGAAATGTAAATGAACGTCCAGCCATTTAAAGCACGCTGCTCCGACAACTATAACTTATCAATTCCGTAGTATCAGAAAAGTATTTAAATTTATCTTCTTTACTAATTACACGGCTGTCCAAGGTAGTAATTGTTGTTAATAGTAAATTCCACGTAAGCAGTATTACTCTATTATAAAATTTTTCTGTGCCTTTAAAAGCAAATTTTATAGATATATAGTAAAGTTACATTTGAAATTTCATGAAATTAAAGCCAAGCTTCTTTTACGTAGTTCATAATTTAGTATTCGAATAAGTATTTCAATTTTAAAAAGATGTATAAAACTTACTTTCGCATACCGCTTCCATTGTATTCTTCTTGCTTTCATCTACTAGTTCAAAACCATCGAGACATTCACATTTATACGTATTCCCATCCGGGGCACACTTTGTATTTGCACCTGGACAATCGCCATCTTTACACTTGTATGCACTTTCTGTTAATAGAATTAAATCAATAACTAAATCTCGTATGTATTCAAATGAATGCGTGAACTCTGTCATTAAACCATTCACCTGCTAACATTTTCACATAATAATTAAACACCATTGAACACCATTGAATGTGCCGGGATAGCCAGGTCGGTAGGGCACTGGGCCTATGACCGAGAGTTCGTGGGTTCGCACTCGGCCGGCCGAAGACTTCCCGTGTAGTTGGTGACTGATGCACGTTAAAATTCTACTGAGTCTGAAAGTCCTCCATGTTCCCATAACAAATCAATACCTCTGGGAGTACTGGATTGGAAATCGATCTTTCTCTGATTCAGGTCAAAATTACGATCTGTGGATGAATGAATAGATGTATGAATGGGTCCGCCTTATAGACAAGTGTGACGTATGGTGTGGCGGAGTCGAATTCTTGGCCATAGATGGCGCCACTGAAAAACAAGAATCGCACACTCTGCCTTAAATTTGCTCGGCTTCACCAAACAGGCTTGCCCGTGTGGCAAGTGGCATTAGAACCAACCGACCAACACCATTGAATAGATCCATTTTCAGCTTTCCAACGGTATATAATATGTTATGCCATCTACTGAATGAGATGAAGAATCATACCAAACGCTATTCAGCCCGCATCACAACCGGGAATATAATAACGGACACGAAAGCTAATATTGGCTGTATAAGCTAATGGGTTATAAATTTAACCCACACTGTTATGACAAATATTATTTCATTTCCTTAACATGCAGTGTAAAACGACAAAAACGTTTCATAGTCAGAACGATGGCAAGAGGACTCTCGATCTGTGTACCACTAATGATATTTTAATTCAGCACTGTGGTCGCTGTGAGCTGGGTGCGGACTTGGTATCGTTTGTCCATTGCTGGGTTTCTAACTTGGACCTCATTGAGATCCAAGTGCTCTATGAGCTGAGACAGCCCGGTTCGACAACCACTCTTTATAAATTCTGTCGTAGCATCATATTATTTAATTTTTTCAGTTATTATCCTGCTGCCCATATAGTAGTAAAACTGATGTAGACACGTGAGCGTCATGAGACCAGACGGTTTCGAATCTTTGACTCAGGCAGTTTTTAACTGCTTTTGAATGAAGTGAACAACTAAAAACTTCCCGAAGCTAATAATTTAAATATTTATAATTATTGCAGCATTACAAATTTTATATGTTACCGACAAAGTATGAAATTTGGCTTTATATATAATGCCTGAAACTAGCCGGCAAAGTATAAAATGATTTATATTTCACAAATGTCTTAGGCATTATGGATAATGCCGGATGCTATTTAGGCAAAGTATTAAATAAACGTCCTGATGAGGTTATTATGTAAATGGAGGATGTTATGAGGATATTTTTTTAAGGTCAAGTATCATTGCCCGGTATATATATTTGCCCAATACTCCAAACACTGATGTTTCTTCCAATCTATCGTCAGTAAGTATTAAAATATCGAATAAATGTAATTATATCCACGAATAAATTAATATAAAATTGGATGTAATAAATATTTCGGACATTCACCAAAGCGACTATGTGATTGTCAACATTCACCGGTGAAAGTCAACAACCACCGATTTCGGTCATTCACAGTAACATGCACATCATTTATATAATAACCTCATTTGGACGTTTATTTCATACTTTGCCTAAATGGCATCCGGCATTATAAATAATGTCTAGGCAAAGTATGTAATACTTCTTATATTTCATACTTTGCCTAAAAACGTCAGACATTATATATAATGCCGGCGTTTCATACTTTGCCGGTAACATATATACTAAAATGAAGTTCGTCATTAAAATATTAAATTATACATTACTTTTAAAAATTTAAAACGATCATATTTTTTGGTCTTACGAGCTGAAGCCAACAGCCAGGACAAAGGATGCGATCAATAAAAGGAAAGTAGCTGTCGAAGGAAACATTACTCGATTAAAAAATTTTCTGGTAACTTTATCCATGTTAGTTGAACTGAAAATTGTTGAATCACTTAAAAAAAAACAGGCGGTCACTAAAAGGCTCTCCAAAGTCACTAAAGACCATAAAAGAAACTGAACTGTCTACCCTAGAGGACGATTTAAATGATTGCGAAAATCGTCCTGAAACAATATAGAGATGAGTACTGAAATACTAACAAATATTAGAACTTAAATACTGATAAAACAAATAATAAAGTTGAAAAGAACTCTGAAAGTTTCGCAGTTAAAAGTGTGATTCTTCCAAGCAATTTTGTCTGAATTTTCAGGAAATACGAATAGTGCACTTCTTTTAAAATTCAACTTGATGACATTATAGCAAATAATAATGATTTGAGTGAATCTCAAAAGCTATATAGTATTTTGCCTCGAAAATCATGCTAAAAATTAGCAAGTTGCTTTGATAATTTTATATCTTTATACGAGTCTTTGAAATAGCGTTATGACAATAGGAGATTTATAGTAAATATTTATGTGCTATGTATTTTGAGTTTTTAAAAAAATTACGAGGATGGTTGGTTGTGTTCAAAACAATTTACGTGCATTAAAAGTACTTATGAACAGAAATAAATAGTCAGATATTTTTATTATTAACATTCTAGAGTCAAAATTAGATAATTGCTGTAAGAAATTTTAAAACTTGAACATTTAAAAATTCTCAAAAGGAGAAATGATTGTAACTAGATTCAGTCAAACACATTTTAATGAATAAAATAAAACAACACTTAATCCAATAATTGAATTAATTATTTATTGCATGATTGATTCATATAATCACCATAAATTAAAAGGAGAGGAAGTAGAATTTAAGCAAGGGATCTTTAATTTGAATGATTATAGCAATTAAAAAAATTTTTATAAGTTGAGGAAATTTTTCACCATCAGTGTGGAAAACTGGAATTATTTTACAACTTGAAGATACTATATTAAAGTATTCAAAAATAAAAGTTCTGTAATATTTGAAGAGATAATTTGTGAGCATTTTTTTCAAATCTTATGAAGTTTTCCAAATAGCAGAAAATATTGACACTTTGTGAAACTGCAGTGATTATTTTAGCTCGATAATTTACTTCAAACTGAAATAAAAAAGACGGAAACAAACAATTGCTTATAATTAATTACCTTTAGTGCAATTTTTTCCTTCGAAGAAAGGAGGGCATATACACCAATAATCTTTGCCAAGAGGATAACAGGTTGAACCTTCTTTGCAGAAATGCTTATCGCATCCACCTTTTAAAAGAAAAACAAGTGTTTAAAATCCTCCGTGGAATGGAAAGAAATATGCAGCAAAATTACTTCTAATCTATTCTGTCCTAATAAGCTTTGTTGATTTCATTCAAATAAAAATTCTGTGTAGCTATTCCATGCGCTTACTTCAAAATAGTAGTTTTCAGAAACCTTTTATGCATTTTCTTTATAACGTTTGTTTATTTTTCAATTTTAAAAATCTTTACAGATTTTTCGCATAGTTTTTCTTTACCCTCTTATCAAATTCTTTTTTAGATTATAAATTATTTCTGGATGAGCATTACAAATTTTTTTGCTTTCCTCATTACTTTACACCTATTTTTTTAAACAGTTTAAGAATTCTCAAATTGTAAGCTACATTTTAAAAATTATTAAATGAAGAAGTCTTAACTTCTTCTCCTGCTGCAGTATATCGTTTTTTCTTTCCATTCAATAATCCGATAACTGTTTTTGATGTAATATTATGCTAGATGAATAATGATAATGTAATATTGAGTGTTGTGCAACTAGCTATTGATGAAATATGTTCTAGGTTAGTCTTTTCATTTCCTTGCGTTTTTGACGTATCATTTTCTTTTTACGCCCTACCTGAACGCTCGCAAATAGCAAACATTTTCTACAAGGCAGCAAAAAGAGATAGAAAAGCACATAGCTTTGCAACAGGTAAGGGGTTAAGCTAAAAATTTATTTAATACTTTTATCGTACCTTTTTCTTTGCCACTTATCTTTGGCTATTTTATTTTTCATCTTGCCAAAACCTTTATCTTATATTCGTCTTTCCTTAATCTTCATCTTATGTCATTTTTAAAAATAGAGGGAAATTGGTGATAGAAGAGGGAAAAAATGGGGGAAAGTGTTGTACCTTAGAACAGTGATAATCCCTAAGAACTTAATGTTATTTGCATTATATTTATTTCTAATTGTGATATTATAATTAATAAATGACATCACAACAACAGTTAACACCCTAAGAATTATCTTATGTTTTTCTAAGTGATAAAAAATTGCGTTAATTGAAGTTATTATTAGCATTCTATTTTATTTTTTAACATGAATTTATAAGAGCATTCAATTAAATTTTATGTTGTTCTGGAAAATAAACTTTTTTAAATGTTTTTATTAGTTGTATTACGGGGTATGACGCATATGCTAAGAATAATGTGGGGCTGTGTTCCAATCTGTTGTAATATTTTAAGAGCAGAAAATGCAGAAACGTAGATTTATTTAAATTTAAAATATCATTATAGGCTCTTATTTTTATTTTTCTTATTTCATATTTCCTTTCAAAATTCTCGCTATCCAGTCACCTTGAAAGCCTTACACTTTCGACAGCTGTCAAAATAATCTTCTTATGTTTTGCAGTTACTTATCTGCCATGTAATTTCATTATTATTAAGTTAAAATTAATTTCAATACTTTTTGTTTAAGGCATTTCTCTATGCCTTGTATTTTATAGAGTAAATATTTTCAAAATTTAATTTATTCTTTATATGTCATTTATACTTGTTGCTAATGTAATTTTTTGTGTTTTATGTATGTTTTGTCAGTAGAATGTTTGTTCTACTCTCGTGTGCCCTGAATAGGGCGGGTCGAGAAATAAATAAACAATATCATTATAGTATTTTTATCTCATATTAGTGTAACTAGTTTTTAATCAGGTCTCGAATTTGTTTTAAACAAGTTTCGATTTTCATTTTTCTCTCGCACTTCTAAGTAATAATATCGCACTATCAAATTAAAAACGTAACGACGTCTCAATGGATAACGTGGTATTAAATAGCCACTGTACTTATTAGCATTAAATATATCTTACCAACTTCATTCACTTTTGGCGAGAGTTAATTCTCGAACAAATATAGAGATAAAAAAATTAAAAGCTCCCCTTTTATTTTTGATTAAACCAATTTGATTTACTTTGCTTTTGATAACCACTGTACATAAACAGTTTAAACAAATATTTCTAAGCTGATAAACATGCAAAGAGGTTTGTGCTGGCAAAATACAGCAAATTAATACATTTTTGTGTTATTTTCATACTAATTCAAAAATTGTTGTTAGCTCCGAGTCAGCAAGTATTTAAATGCCATACGAAAATAAAAAGAAATATGGAATAGTCGACAAATAAGAACTAAAGCTTTAATAAATAAATTATAATAAAATAATAATTTTAAAGTTCAGTTAATTTTGCTAAAAACAAAAAAATGTGGCATTTTATTTGAAGTTTAAAATTATTCCCATATTGTGGTGTGGAAAAAAACATTAAATAAATTTTCGACACTAAGAATCTGATATTAAATTCTAATATTTGCTACCACTAGAAAAAATTTTCTAGTGATTCCCATCCTAATATTTCGTACCGAGAAGTCTCTTTTGTTTGTAATTTCAGTTTTTATTCGTGTTCGCTCACCTCATCTGTTGTTTGTAAGAAAATACAATCGCATTCTACATAAAATTGAACTAGTGAAATTTATTATTAAAAGCTAAATAAGATTTTTTTACTTTTGTTTTGTTTTATTTACTTTTTTTTTTAATTTTTTAATGAATAACCACCGTGATTTTTTTTGTTTAAACCCCTACTTATTCAAGTTTTTAAAGATTGTAGCTGATTTTAAAAATTTGCGATGAAACAATTACTTCTTTTGAAAAGCAATCCGTACCAATTTGAAAAATAAATTTAAGTTTCATAACATAAATTATAAACCTTCTAGAGGGCTGCGCCCCCTGCTCGCTAACGCTCGCCAACCCCCGAAAATTGCTACGCAATCTTATATGGTTAGCAAGCTCGCTTCACTCGCTACTACCTTAGGTACATTACAAATGCACAAAATTCTACGAATTCAAAACAATCATTCAAATCCATATAACAACTTTAAAAAACAAAATTACATATTTTAAGTAAATACTAAGTCATTAAAATAAATTTGAATTCCAATAAATGACATAATTCGTTAAACCTATTAGAAATGTGCTATAGTATAAAATCTTAAAGCGTAACAGCACGACTGAGACTCATTTTTCAATGAATAACTAATAACAATAATAAAGCAAATAAATTCGCGACATAAATCAAAAATGGTCAAATAAATTCGTAATATATAAATTCGTGATAAATTCGTTCGACAAAATACTAAAACAGAGATCTATCGACAAAGACTACTCACTTCTGCCTTGCTTAATAGTATGAGATTGCCGCAGCTGATAGGGTGAATTTCGGAAGAGATCACATTTGGTGAGAAGGCTCTCTCTGGTTATTTCCGTTTCCGTTTTTAAAAGCGCTATATGTTGAGCCACCTGAGCTAGATTTGGCATGTGAAATTTTTAGGGGCAATCATTGATATAGATGTTTGATGATTGAAAATTACTCTAATAATTTTTCACAACTCGAATTATTTACTCACCAGCCTTGTTACAAATTTATTTCTGAATTTTGACAAGGTAATATTCTTCTAGAATAAGTTTAAGAATGCTGAGAAGCAATCTCTACGAAAGAGGTTGAAATCAAGAGTAAATTCATTTCAACGTCCTTTTAATACTTATCACATGATCATTTGCATTAGAGCTGGGCATCTGAGTCCTTGCTGCCCATTTTCCATTCATCTTGAAAATGAAAGAGAAAAGCATACATGATAACAGTTAAAAGTAACTGAACTCAAAATGGAGTTCATGTGAGTATGGCGTTTTGCCAAATTATTGGATAAAGTTAAAAATTGGGATTGAGTAAAAAAGGTAAGTGAAATACATAATACTTATCACATAGAATATTATGCAAAACAAACGAAAAAATGTTTTTTAAAAAACTGATAAACTTAGTTAATTAAGAATGTCAAAAACATACTAGACATTCAGGTTTCTGGAAAAACGTACTCAAGCGTTCCCCGAATATCATTTACAATGTTGTGCAGATTTGACATATAAATACAGTTTATTTTAGACAATTAAAAAATTCTTAGAAATCAGCGAAACTGAGAAAATCGAAATTTAAGGTGTTTTTCCACTCCTGCTCAATTGGTTGCTGTTTTATTACAGCTTCCTTGTGGTAGTTCAATAAACATGTTTTTTTGCCACCAAAATTTGAAGCATTCTACTAATTATTATAAAAGTTTCAGCTCATTTGGAAAGCATTAACTTCGAATTACAGTATTTTGACTTGAAGTTGTTACAGTATAGCTTAATTTTTTGTGAGTGATATAATTTTTTACAACTCTGGTAATTGACAATATTTCGATCTAACTAAACATTTGATAAAATATTAAAGATTTTTCCCTGTGAAGTTATTCAGAATTTCAATCTTAATAACACATGCGTAAAACACATATGCATTCAGATTAAACACTTCTGCATAAAGTTGTAAGAATATAGTTTAAATGTATGCTTTACTTGAGTGATATCAACTTTTACCCTTTACAACACTTGCAATTGATAACAGTTTGATGCAATAAAACATTTTGAAAAATTTGAAATATTTTTCCTTGTGGCATCATTCAGAATTTTTATCTGAATAACACAAGTTTAAAAAAAATTTTTTTTTTATTAAAACTTACTTGTGCATTCCTGTTTATTTCTCTTCACTTCACCTTCTTTGGGTACGTAGCCACCCTTACATTCGCAATAATAATCGTCATCTCCTATCATCACACATTTAGCCCTCTCTGGTAAGGGACACGAAAACATTCCGAGGTCGCATTTAGTTATTTCTGTTGAATAATAGGCACTTCAATGAATATATAACGTAAAGAAGAAACAAAACCATTAAATTTTGCAGCTAGTGGTTCAAATGAAATAATAACATCCAATTAAGCGGATGACACTCTTTTATCCGGCACCTTTTCTGTTTTTCATTCACCAAATTATATATGATTTATTTAAGCTATTATTCCTTGGTTCGTCTTTAAAATTAAATTTTACTTTTTCAAGTCTAGATAATTTTTTTCATTTATTTAAGTTTATTATAGATATATTTAATTATATCTATATATAACTTTAACGCCCTTCTTATTTTTTTAAACTTTTCATCGGAAAGTTTGTTTCCTGCCTTTGTTCTTTTATCTTACACTCATTTACAATTATATATATATATACAGTCAGTCACAAAAATCTACATACACTGATCAAAATAAAGGTTTCTCAAAAAGCAATTAAATTTCAATTTTAAAAATCATATCACTCCTTCAGTTTTCTCTAAAAAATTTGTTTTCCATAATAAAAATATTCAGAAATAATAATTTCTAGGTAATTTTGTGATTTGTATAGTAATTATCAAGTCGCAAAAGTCTGCATACACCTGATTGGCAGACGGGAAAAAAAATTGTATGCGAAGTGATTTTGGAAGATTGTCTTAGTTTGAGGTTACATGTTTCGTTATCTATTCTAATCTTCATTTCCCGAGATTTTTTGACATTGTAACTTCAACAAAATGAGTCAGGGAAAGGAAACATCTTTTGAACTTCGAAATATGATAGTGAGAATGAAATATGAAAATAAATCTTATGCAGAAATTGCAAAAATTGTAAAAAAAAGTCGGTCAACTGTTCAAACAATCTACAGAAATTATGTTATGCGTGGAAATGTGCTTAACAAATATCGATGTGGTCGTCCAAGGAAGCTTAATGATCGTGATGCAAGAGCCATAGTAAGGAAAGTGAAGAAAAATCCGAAAATTAGTGCTCCAAAATTAGCGAATCAAATTGCAACAGCTAGTGGAAAGAAAGTGCATCCAGAGACTGTTCGTAGAATTTTTCGATCAGCCGGCTACAATGGTAGAGTTTCTAGACGAAAGCCGTTCATTTCATCAACTAACAAACAAAAGAGACTTGATTTTGCTTCTGCACATATTAACCAAGATTTTAATTTTTGGAAAACAGTTGTTTTTACAGACGAGAGTAAGTTCAACGTGTTCGGGAGTGATGGCAGCGGAAAA